GCTGTCGATGCCATAACATATTTAATTTCTATTGAAGAATTATTTTCAGTTGTCTTTAGCTTTGCTGGGATGATATTAAACTGCCTTGAAGAAATCATTGAAAGACACTGTGACACTGAAAACTGATCGGAAAGAAATGTTCATTTTTAACAAAACCCCAAAGGTATAAAGTAAAATGAGAACTTGCATTTCTTTTTCTGAAAAAATAATTGAAAATTCTTTCATTTGTCACGCAGCGAAAACACTTCATTTGATCAACCTCAAGCAGGTTTTTGATCGGATAGCGAATCATCAAGTCTGTTCAACTACGAATTGAGTTGAAATATTTCTTCTACCTACTGTACTTGGGTGGATAAATAAGATGTGTTTGTCAATAATTGTAGTGGTTTGGGCCTGAATAATCTTTTTCTTGTGTTTATTTTTCACACCTGGCATTCCTAAAAGTTAAACCCCACAGAGTTACGTCCCTTGAAAAAGCTTCGTTCTCATGCAGTGATGACGCGAAAACACATCAGTGAGGTCATCAAGTTAGAGAATCGCTGATTGTTATATATTGTTATAAACACTGTATAAACGTGTACACAAAGGCGCTATTGGAACAATAATAATTACAACAATATTATCTTATTTCTGTTTTTTTTACATTGTCGTGAAATCAAAATCTTTGTTTTTGTTTTATATTTACAGAGTTCACAATCGTAGTCCCAATCACTTCAAGTTGGAGCTGATACCTGAGCCAGTGTCACCACAACATGATTCATATTCAGTACTTCATATTATGTGTAGGTTACCCTATAACCATGCTTCATTAATGCCTGTATCTCGTAATCCACTAAAATATTGTTAAATCTGGGGAAGTATATAAAATCACACCTATTTCAACTATTGTACAGCTAGGTGTTCCCTATCCTCGAGGTATTAAAGAATCAACCAAGCCATCACGCCTAAAGAAAGACATCATGCCTCACTTTGTATTTTGTATTCTTTATTAACATCGTTTGTCTGAGTAAATGCAAATGCAGATTGCACATAAATCAGTAACCATATTCTCGCGATAAACAAAAAACAACAGAAGCACTGCCCGTTATATTTAATCTTCAACCAATTACCATTCTTATGGAACTGCTTTCAGGAAATTCGCGAAATGTACACATACCCCAACAATGCTTAAATATTTTTTTTAAATATGGCTTTCTGAACAAAATAGACAGTTGATAACAGTTTCTTTTATCACGCAGCGAAAACATTTTATTAGATCCAAGTTCAAAAAGGTTGTTGGTCAGATAGCGAGCCACCATCTCTGTTTAACTGCCAATTGAGTAGGTCTTCTACCTTCTGTGCTTTTGGGTGATAAATAAAATGTGTTTGTCAATAGAGCGGGGTTTGGGGATTAATAATCTTCTTCGTACTTGTTAAACAATCCCCCCCCCAAAAAAAATAATAAAGTTATTGGTTTTTTTCTTATCGAAAATACAATGTTTGCATTTACAAACATGACAATGTATCAGGGCCGTTTCCTATCTTCAGAACAAATACGTGAAGAAAAATATTCAAAAGAACAGATAGAACGGAAAACGTCATCGTAATGGATGCGGATGAGGGTCTAAGAGAGATAACAGCGTAATGGTGGATCCGTGCATTCATGCAATATTAAACGTTTGAATTGATTCATAATTTGCATGTTTGAACCTTCTTCCTCCTTCATATGCTTCTTTTTCTTCATAAAATGCATTTTGCATAGAAAAAAACTTGCAAAGGACGTTGCGGTGGAAGCGAGTGGTTTGGGTCATGGTCAAAGGTGGGTAATCGTGTTTTGTACACGAGTTAACTCCCTTGCCCTAAACTCAACACAGTGTCTTGTTTAAAACTTCACACACGGCGTGTGCCCTCCATCAAGGGGAGCTAACCGCGCACAATAAATCAAGAGTAATGTCCCTTGTCCCAAAGGGAGGTAAGCCAGTTGACAGTGACTTCCCTTTGACCCATTCGTCACCACTCGCCCCTTTCGGTAACCTGGGAGAAGAGTCGCTATTCGGCTTGTCCCGGAAAAACACGAGTTGGTCACGAATGACCTTTGACCCAAGCTCCTCACAGCGATATCCCGTTCGCGGAGCTCTCTATACAAGATTCTTGTAATGGCCGCGCCCACACAGGTGGCAGCGATGTTACCGAGAGTGTAACGAAGGTGTCACGCGCAGGGAAGGAGCTTGATCAACGGCATGCCATTTCAACAAATATTGCGATGAGTGCATGACACCAATGGTTGTGTTGTCTCCCTTTTGGACCCATAAAGATACGATTAATTTTCTCTCAAACTGGATTCAGCATAGAAACAAACAGACCATGCAGTGGACGCAAGTGGTTTTGTTTATGGTTAAAGGGAGGTAATCGTGTTTGTACATGAGTGTTAAACTCCCTTAACTCCGCACAGTGTCTCTCTTGATATTTCACACAAGACGTCAAGCTCCTTCCCAGCGCGTGACACCTTCGTTACACTCTCGGTAACATCGCTGCCACCAGTGTGGGCGCGGCCATTACAAGAATCTTGAAATTTGCCCTCTAACCCCAAATGTAGTAACGTTTATACTTTTGTTTATGTCTTTGGGAATGCCATCATATTTCATTTTGAAAAGGTTTACGACTGACCATGTTTTCCAGATGAATTTACTTTGTTGTTTTAATAATCAGATTGGTTCTAGATTGCAGACTAACAGAAAATCAACCAACTTCTCCCTTACATTCTTACTATATCAATAACACGATAGTTTTAATGAAACAAAAATTCAAATTGACAAACGAAGAAATTTATTTAGCAGCGATAAGTGTATTCGGCGTCACGACAGTCGTCACTTGTTTGTAAACATAACGGTCATTCGGTTGCGAGTTAAACTCCAAGCATGGTTGTGGCCACCTATTCACAGTGGGAGTTTTGAGTGGTGGCAGCGATAGTATAGAGAGCTCCGCGAACGGGCTATCGCTGTGAGGAGCTTGACAAGACGTGTGCCCTCCAAGCTCCTCACAGCGATAGTACGTTCCCGGAGCTCTCTATACTATTACCGAGAGTCATTCGTCACCACTCGGCCCTCTTGTCCCGGAATAACACGAGTTGGTCACGAATGACCGAGAGTGTAACGAAGGTGTCATGCGCTGGGAAGGAGCTTGGTGTGCCCTCGATCAAAGGGAGCTAATCGCGTACAGCAAATCAAGAGTTATGTCCCTTGTCCTAAAGGGACGAAAGTCTCTTTCGCAAATGTCAATAGGGTTAACAGTTACTTCCCTTTGACCATCAACGTCAAGGCTCCTCAAATCCAATGAGTCGTATCAATCTTGTGTGTAGGTAAGGAAATAAGCCGAAAGGACCCGAATGTAACTAAAATATTCAGTGCGCGGCCCATGAAACTACTGCCGTGTCCTCTCGGCATATATTCAGCATATAACTAGTATTAACTACCAAACACCGAGAAGTGCATGAAACTGTTGATTGAGTTGTCTCCCTTTGACCGTTACACCACAATTTCCTTCGCCGCGCGGGGACACTTTCGTTACCCTCCCTGGTATCATCCCTGCCACTAAGCCGGTTCAGTCACGGGTGCCTGGAAGCCGATCAAGTGTAGCCATTAGAATGGGGACCAGTTAGTTGCTGTTTGGAGCGGGAATAGCCTGGGACACATGCTAATTAGAGTTACGTTCTGTTTGATGTTTCATTGTTGTAAACGCGACATTCAACAATATTGTATTAGGGAACGCAGACCAAATTTGTCTTTAAATGGAACAATTTTCCCTATTTTTTTAAAGTTAATGAATTTCAATGCATTCTTTCCCAACGTTTCCTTTGAAAATAACTAGAATCTAGGTGTGTCAATACGAATGTCGTCATGAAACAACAAACTGAGACAATATCATTTCATAAAATATTTTGTATTGTCATGTATGACTACTTAATTATTTTCATTAGAAATATTGACTTGAACGCTTTTGATTTTATATAATATGTATTGTTTTACACTGAAAACATTCCATATCGAAAAGCAACGATCATGTCTCTTGGGGCTGGGACGAGTCCAAATTTACTACCCGGGTACCCACACCCCTATTACTCGACCCTTCCCGGGTACCCGCTGTTGGTGTCAAGAGATAGGTACAAAATGTCGATTGGGAATAGTTTGACAGTAGCCCTGGCAGAATGTATTTAGATACACGTATAGAACGATGTGGTCATGTATACACTGAAGTTGACTGAAGTTTTAGCTTTGTTAAAAACACATATGTCAGAAGGAACGTGTTAATAGTCATAAAGAAATACGAACATTAGAGATTTAATATTGCCGTGTAACCATGTAGTTATGTAGTGAAATTTTTGTCATGAATCAATATATCACGTGACTAACCACGAGTCCGGGTAGTCCTGTGGGTACCCGGGTCCTACTCAGCACCCACCCGACCCGAGTACCCGAGTTACCTGTCCCAGCCCTAAATTATTGTCTCTACTACACTACTACAGCTATTTAAAGAAAACTTACAGTGTCAGTTTGAAAACTATTAAATAAATAGCAAGCCATCAGACATTTTCACGTTCACCGTTATTTTCATTGTTGTATAATTGTTGAATATGTGTTTAAAATATTTGCATCCCTCGTATCACACTGCCAAGGCTCAAATAACTTTTAAATAGACCCACGACTCCCGCGTACAAAAGAGGGTTGGTAGCCTCATAAATTATACAACGTAAAATATCGCAAATTTAACTGCACAAATATTTAGTGTAAACGGCTATGTATAGGTCTTACTGAACTGGGAGCTGTCTTATATTTCACAACTGACCTCATAGTTATAGGTCGTATTGATTCAGCACGCCTCATAAGCGCGTGACTTTTTACGTCATAGCCTTCCTTTTTATCCACAAAGCGCGTGAAAATGACAGAATATATAAACAAGACATTGGGAAACCCCAGTTCTATAAATAGTAATGCCGCTCAAAGCCGTGCGTGTGTGAGTCGTTGCGTATTTATATCGCCACTGCCGACTCTGTTGTGATAAACGAATGTGACTAAGAGATAATTTGATTATTTGTATATAACCGTCGGTGTTGAGGACTTGCTCAGGTTCAATGTAGGCTTCTCGCCAGCAAGGTAAGTTAATGTCACGACTCACGGTCACCATTTTGATATGTGTTGTTTATCAATGTATTTTATCTATTTGGTTGCTTAATGCCTTGCTCGAATTGAAGAATGTTAAAATTGACCAGACAATCCAGTGATTGATGAATAGTAAATGATGAGTTTTAACTGTAGTATCATCACGAATAACGAGTTTTAACTGTAGTATCATCACGAATAACGAGTTTCAACTGTAGTATGATAATGAATAACGAGTTTCAACTGTAGTATGATAATGAATAACGAGTTTCAACTGTAGTATGATTATGAATAACGAGTTTTAACTATAGTGTGATAATGAATAACGAGTTATAACTGTAGTATGATAATGAATAACGAGTTTTAACTATAGTGTGATAATGAATAACGAGTTATAACTGTAGTATGATAATGAATAACGAGTTTTAACTATAGTGTGATAATGAATAACGAGTTTCAACTGTAGTATGATAATGAATAACGAGTTTCAACTGTAGTATGATTATGAATAAAGAGTTTTAACTATAGTGTGATAATGAATAACGAGTTTTAACTATAGTGTGATAATGAATAACGAGTTATAACTGTAGTATGATAATGAATAACGAGTTATAACTGTAGTATGGTCAAGAAAAACGAGTTTCAACTGTAGTATCATCACGAATAACGAGTTTTAACTGTAGTATCATCACGAATAACGAGTTTCAACTGTAGTATGATAATGAATAACGAGTTTCAACTGTAGTATGATAATGAATAACGAGTTTCAACTGTAGTATGATTATGAATAACGAGTGTTAACTGTACTATGATTATGAATAACGAGTTTCAACTGAAATATGATTATGAATAACGAGTTTCAACTGTAGTATGATAATGAATAACGAGTTTCAACTGTAGTATCATCACGAATAACGAGTTTTAACTGTAGTATCATCACGAATAACGAGTTTCAACTGTAGTATGATAATGAATAACGAGTTTCAACTGTAGTATGATAATGAATAACGAGTTTCAACTGTAGTATGATAATGAATAACGAGTTTCAACTGTAGTATGATAATGAATAACGAGTTTCAACTGTAGTATGATTATGAATAACGAGTGTTAACTGTACTATGATTATGAATAACGAGTTTCAACTGAAGTATGATTATGAATAACGAGTTTCAACTGTAGTATGATTATGAATAACGAGTTTCAACTGTAGTATGATAATGAATAACGAGTTTTAACTGTAGTATGATAATGAATAACGAGTTTCAACTGTAGTATGATTATGAATAACGAGTTTTAACTGTAGCATGATAATGAATAACGAGTTTCAACTGTAGTATGATCATGAATAACGAGTTTTAACTGTAGTATGATAATGAATAACGAGTTTTAACTATAGTATGATAATGAATAACGAGTTTCAACTGTAGTATCATCACGAATAACGAGTTTTAACTGTAGTATCATCACGAATAACGAGTTTCAACTGTAGTATGATAATGAATAACGAGTTTCAACTGTAGTATGATTATGAAAACCGAGTTTCAACTGTACTATGATTATGAATAACGAGTTTCAACTGTAGTATGATTATGAATAAACGAGTTTCAACTGTAGTATGATTATGAATAACGAGTTTCAACTGTAGTATGATAATGAATAACGAGTTTCAACTGTAGTATGATTATGAATAACGAGTTTCAACTGTAGTATGATTATGAATAACGAGTTTCAACTGTAGTATGATTATGAATAACGAGTTTCAACTGTAGCATGATAATGAATAACGAGTTTCAACTGTAGTATGATAATGAATAACGAGTTTTAACTGTAGTATGATTATGAAAACCGAGTTTCAACTGTAGTATGATAATGAATAACGAGTTTCAACTGTAGTATGATAATGAATAACGAGTTTCAATTGAGTATGATACTAAATAACGAGTTATAACTGTAGTATGATCAAGAATAACGAAATTTAACTGTATGATGAACGTGGAATAATCTCATTTAATCTATATTTAAACACCCCTGTTAAACAAATACAATTTTGCCTATGTCTCCACTGTGTAGCGGCATGAGCGATCACTTTTGTCATCGCTACTTGAAGAAGTCACGAACTATGATTGACGAAGAAAACGGCATGTGTTCCAATAGTTTATTTACGAAGTGAATATTACTTACAGTAATGAAAAAAATGAGAGAGCGCTTGAAAAAAAATCGATTTAGCTGACGATAAACACCATTGAGTTTTGAATACGTGGTTATAATTCGGGTTGGGATCGGCAGTCACGTGACTGCGAGCGGTTATATTTAGCAGAGCGTGCATCTCGAACAACACCAATACCGCTTTAATACATCTGCAGATTCTGCACGAGTTTTTCTTTCAGATTGTGCTGGTAATGTACATTCTATGCAGTTGTCATAGTGCGAGTGCTACATATACCTCACTTTATAGGTATTATCACACACGCTTCGATAATAAATAATCGTGTTATTTCGTGATTCCGTTTCAAGTGGAGAGGACTACAGCGATCAGTGACTGGAGTGTGGCGTTAAACAACAAACTAACTACTTACCCAGCTGGCACGCCAATGTTGAATCAAGGCTGAATCAATGCCGTGCTGCAACAATGAAATAAGACCGAGAGTGATAATTGGTTGGATTGGAAAGTTGTGATGATGTAGAAATGTCGACATTGATTCAACATCGGATATCAATGTTGAAATGATGTTCTTCGCCGTTGAAATAACATTGTTGTTTGTTTGGATTTGAACGGTGCGATGACGTTGAAATGTCGACGTTGAATTAACATCGGATATCAATGTTGAAATGATGTGCTTCAACGCAGAAACGAAACATCAGATATTAGTCCTGAATTTTGGTTGGGTATTGGTTGAAATGGTTTAAATGGACTCCCAAACTCTACTCCTAGTCTGAGTTGCATCTTCGATACCGGTTCATCTCGTGTTAAGCCAATTTCTCCACATTGGAGACCCCTTTCATACATGGTGTTTATTTAGGGTGAAAGTTTGAGAGAGTCCGATGTCACAACTAGTCTGTCATATATCCGCAGGGTTATCTCCATCATCTATGCGGAGTTACCGGCCCTGAGTAGTTTCAGTTTTCGTGAAAGCACGAGATCTCGCCTTTCTCTGTACCAGCAAGTCCAACCAATCAGGAGCATTGTAGACAAAACACAATGCAAGCGATTGTTTGAACAAATGACAATGTTTTAGCACTACTTGAAAAGAAACCACAACCTTTGAGTAACGCCTTAATTGGAAATATTCAATGTAAAAGCCAACCCAAATTTTCCCTCAATTAAGTAAGTGCAATCCATGGCACAGTCAGTCTGTGAACACCATCTTTGGCACCTCGATGATTTGGCACAATTTAGTCTTTTGGCACATCCCCCGACTGGCCTTCCGATGTCGAGTATCCAATGTCAGATCTTGACACACCGAATTACAAATCTGGATCTTCCCACAACATGAAGTTTACAGCAATAAAGGCTGCATTACCTCCATTGTCTAAATGAACAATTACTTAAAGCAAACGTTATGTTAGAATGTGTGTACACATAGCGATATTAATGTAATGAATACAACTCACCTCTGTTCTGCCATACGACGTCAACGACATATTGGGCAACAGTCTGGATTTGAATCCTTATATATATATACATATCAGTAGTTATTCCTTTATTATCCAATTGGGGCGGTCGGGTAGCCTAGTGGTTAAAGCGTTCGCTCGTCACGCCGAAGACCCGGGTTCGATTCCCGACATGGGCACAATGTGTGAAGCCCATTTCTGGTGTCCCCCGCCGTGATATTGCTGGAATAGTGCTAAAAGCGGCGTAAAACCATACTCACTCACTCACTTATTATCCAATTGCAGAGACAGAGCACAGGGGTAAGATGACGACTCAGGGTAAAACGGGTGTGGCACACAAGCTGATGTTTTGGAAGCGTCAGAACGAGCCTACCCCCGAGGAGGCCATAGAACGCCTTCGCAATTTACAAGAACTTCTGTTGAAAAAGTCGGATTACCTTGAAAGCAAAATAGATGCTGAAACGAAAACCGCATTGGAAAACAGAGTGAAGAATAAGAGAGGTGAGCAGAACATCAATTGAAATGAATATGATGTAACTGATCCCACATAGATGGTGTTACTGATCCTACATAGATGGTGTTCCATATCTCACATAGATGGTGTTACTGATCCTACATAGATGGTGTTACTGATCCTACATAGATGGTGTTCCATATCTCATATAGATGGTGTTACTGATCCTACATAGATGGTGTTCCATATCTCACATAGATGGTGTTACTGATCCTACATAGATGGTGTTCCATATCTCATAAAGATGGTGTAACTGATCCCACACAGATGGTGTTACTGATCCCACATAGATGGTGTTCCATATCTCATATAGATGGTGTTACTGATCCTACATAGATGGTGTTCCATATCTCATATAGATGGTGTTACTGATCCTACATAGATGGTGTTACTGATCCCACATAGATGGTGTTCCATATCTCATATAGATGGTGTTACTGATCCCACATAGATGGTGTTACTGATCCTACTTAGATGGTGTTCCATATCTCATATAGATGGTGTTACTGATCCTACATAGATGGTGTAATTGATCCTACATAGATGGTGTTACTGATCCCACATAGATGGTGTTACTGATCCCACATAGATGGTGTTCCATATCTCATATAGATGGTGTAATTGATCCTACATAGATGGTGTTACTGATCCTACATAGATGGTGTTCCATATCTCATATAGATGGTGTAACTGATCCCACATAGATGGTGTTACTGATCCTACATAGATGGTGTTACATATCTCATATAGATGGTGTTACTGATCCTACATAGATGGTGTTCCATATCTCATATAGATGGTGTAACTGATCCCACACAGATGGTGTTCCATATCTCATATAGATGGTGTTACTGATCCTACATAGATGGTGTTACTGATCCTACATAGATGGTGTTCCATATCTCATATAGATGGTGTTACTGATCCCACATAGATGGTGTTACTGATCCCACATTGATGGTGTTACTGATCCTACATAGATGGTGTTCCATATCTCATATAGCCGGTGTTACTGATCCTACATAGATTGTGTTCCATATCTCACATAGATGGTGTTACTGATCCCACATTGATGGTGTTACTGATCCTACATAGATGGTGTTCCATATCTCATATAGATGGTGTTACTGATCCCACATAGATGGTGTTCCATATCTCATATAGATGGTGTTACTGATCCTACATAGGTGATGTTACTGATCCTACATAGATGGTGTTACATATCTCATATAGCCGGTGTTACTGATCCCACATAGATGGTGTTACTGATCCTACATAGGTTATGTTCCATATCTCATATAGATTGTCTTACTGATCCCACAAAGATGGTGTTCCATATCCCACATAGATGGTGTTACTGATCCCAAATAGATGGTGTTCCATATCTCATATAGATGCTGTTACTGATCCTACATAGGTGATGTTACTGAACTCATATAGATGTTAATGATCTCACATAGATGGTGTTTATGGTCTCACATAGGTGATGTTACTGATCCTATGTGGATGGTATTACAGGTCTCACTTAGATGATAGTACAGGTCTCACACAGATGGTTTTACAGATCTCACATAGGTGTTGTTACTGATCCTACATAGATGATGTTACAGGTCTCACTTAGATGATATTACATATCTCACATAGATGGTGTTGCTGATTTCACACTGACGGTGTTACAAATCTCTCAGATGACAATTGTGGAAAGGGTTTTGTCACATTCATTAACGAATCTCATTGAATGGTATTTACACGTGAATTGTGCCATTACAGGTGCGATCCAGGCCCTGCGACGTCGTAAGCGATGGGAGAAGCAGCTCAAACAGGTGGACGGGACGATGGCGACGTTGGAGGTCCAGCTGGAGCTGCTGACATCGGCGTCGGTGAATGTCGAAGTCACGAAGTGCCTGAAGTTGACGTCAGAGACAATGCAACGGACCTACGGCAACATGTGAGTGAACTGGCAGCATCCAATTATAATCGAATTCGTGTTATCTATCGGAGTTATAATACAGTTATACACCAGCTTCAATTTTTCAATGTGACATTGCCAGGAAAATAAAATGCACAGGACAATTTCTTTCATAATACCTAAGGGATCGCCTATTTACTATTCTATAGTGTGTCACTGTGTGTCACTGTGCGTTCCTGTGTTTGAGTGTGTGTCTCCCTGTATGTGTCTGTTTTTGTGTGTGCGTGCGTGTGTGTGCTATTTGGTTAATTAAAATTATCAATCTAAATATTTAAAAGACTCTTGCATCCTTATATGTATTGTGGCAGTTTGCACCATACTTGTAAGTTTTCGGGGGCAATGTATTTTTTTCGATAAAATCAAAATATCAAATGTTCGACCTCTAAGGGTGATGGCCTTGCAAAGCGGTCGTTCGTCACCCCTGGCATTGGTACAATGTGTGAAAGCAATTTCTGGTGTCCCACGCCGAGATGTTGCTGGAATAGTGCTAAAAGCGTCACATAACAATACTCATTCACTTATTCATCTCTGAGGAGTAGAATATAACCTATGTGAAAATCATTTATACCATGGCCAGGTCGGCAGACAAGGTGGCAGACCTGAGGGATGAGGTGTCGGACATGATGGAAGATGCAGAGGAGATCGGTGGCATCCTGGCGCAGCCCCTTGGAGGCGAGGAATTTGATGACGTATGTACAACTGTATAGGACAGGGGTTGCCTGGCAACATGTTTGGGTCAGCATGTTGTCTGATGAAAATTATTAACGGCAAAATGTTAAATTAGTCATGGACCTGAACAGATATAATTTTTATAGTTTAAATGCATCAACTGACATTCTTGTAGCTTTAGTTTATAATCCCATTGCGCAAATGAGTCTCAAATAGACAATGTCGACAAAAGTAGGGATGGGATGGTTACAATGCCTGATGAATAACCAAGAACAACTTCACGCAATGTCCTGCCTAAGATTAGCCGAATGCTTCCGTATCGGAGTTATCATGTAAATCTTACATCACCTCGTCCTGTCGCCCCCATGAAGCAGACACGCGTGTTATTACTGAAAGCTTTTCGAAGGGACATTTAACCCAGTTCACCCACTCAGTCGCCTCATACACCGCCGCTGATAATCCTACAAGCTCTGTCAAGTCGTACTTGGCAAGCATTGCATATATATCCTCTCTCACCCCTACAACGCCCGCCAACTGACTATCGAAAGGACCCCTGAAGATCCGGGTAGAATATAGGTCTTCAGCAACCCATGCTTGTCGTAAGAGGCGACTAACGGGATCGGGTGGTCAGGCTCACCGACTTGGTTGATGCATGTCATTGTATCCCAATTGCGTGGATCGATGCATTTCATTGTATCCCAATTGCGTGGATCGATGCAATGTCAATCACTGGATTGTCTGGTCCAGACTCGATTATTTACAGACTGCTGTCATATACCTGGAATATTGCAGAGTGCGGCGTTAAACAAGAAACAAACAAACACTAACGTAAAAGGCGACGAAATAGTTCGGTGGCCCAGTCGTCTAAGGCGCCGTGATTCGCTGTGCAGAGTTGCGTCCCTTGGGCACGCCAGAAACCTATGATTGTGGGTTCGAATCCAGGTTCACCCCAATTATGTTTCTAGGTTTGTCAGCATCATACCCGTGCTCGTGTGTTTCACCGAAGTGGTAAACGTCATAGACCTGCATCACTTCAGGCTTTCCTCCCACATTAAGCTGACACGCCGTGATATAACTGGAAAACGGTTAAAAGCGGCGTTAAAACCAACTCACTCACCCACTCACTGTGATATAGCTGAAATATTGATGAGTGCGGTGTTAAACAACAAAGAATGAAATCATAAAACCACCCGAAAACCACTTCATTCGTCTACCCACGCACTCACCCGACCACTCACACCTTTTTTTCAAACATCAACCCACTCACTCGCTTACTGGTCTACACCCCACCAATCCATCTACCCAGCATTTCCCCCACTTAGCTCAAACCCACACACTAACAGCGCTACCCCCGTGTTTCAGGAGGATCTTCTGGCGGAGCTTGAGGAGATGGACCAGGAGGAACTCACAGATGACCTGTGCCACATCCACTTCCCTTCAGTGCCCACTGAGAAGGTCAAGGTGAAAGGTGCGGTTTCTTTATGTTGACGTGTCACATCTGGCAGTAAAGACAAGACATTTTATGGATGACAACTTCCTTATTGTATAATGATGTGACGTTTCCGTATGAAAACATTATAACGATGTCACGCGAGAGTGAAGTAACAGTAAGACAAATGTACATAATGTGCAGGTTTACTTCAATCTTGCTAGACAACGGTTTAAGTACAATTACCGAAACGTCGCGTCATAATACAATAAAAAAGTTGTCATTTGTAAAATATCTTGTCTTTACTGACACTTACCAACTTCCAAGGAATGCCAATCAAAACGTTCCCATCACGTGTAGCTTACGTCCTGTACAATGTACCACCCCGATATTTCAGTACAGGTCAAAGACGTTATATGATGATTTGAAACGAATTATTTGTTTTCGTTTGTGTTCTGGAGAAAGGTAATGTGCGTGGACCGATTCGGTGAATGGAATGAGGTTTCCTCTCCTCATACTTGAAGCCTCCTTGCACACACAGTAAATATGCTCATAAGCGAGAACTGACGGATATAACAAACCGTTTGTTTTGGTCCCGGCTATCATGAGTTCTAGATAACCGAAGGATAGTGTGTGTGTTAGTGTGTGTGTTAGTGTGTGTGTGTGTGTGTGTGTGTGTGTGTGTGTGTGTGTAACAGCTAGAAATTAACAGGTATGTATTAAAAACACCTACCTAATGAAATGTGACCAAATGACAAATATTCGAAAGTGTGTGTATTTATCCACATATCTTAAAATGCTCACGTTTGAATAAGTGCATGTGAATGAACGGTAAGTTTGATTTTATTATCACAGTCCACTTCCATGCCTACTATTATTGTTTCCAGATGACAAGAAGGCCGTCGAGGCTAAAGAGGAAGAGGAGGAAGAACTGAGGAAGTTGGCAGAATGGATGTGACATGGCCCAACAAGGAGGGACGTCACATCATCCCCTTAGACACCCGTGTCGTAAACATAGTATGACATAAACACTCATATAATATCCTCTATATATGTGTCATGCCTCAGTAGTGCCCCATTGTGTGGAATATGACTCCCAATTGCGTGGTATACCTCATAACAGTAACATGTAGCACACCTTTTCTGACGACAGTTCATGTTATGGATATTCCGCTTGGTTATTGTGAATATAGTTAAGGAAAGATCATTTGCTTGTGCAATATTCATGTGCAATCAAATATGTTTGAAAACAAAAGCATAAAAACAGAAGCTGCATGACTTTGCAATTCACACATGAAATGTGAATACTACATGAGGGAAGGGTATATCATGTGTTGACTTATAAGTAATTGAAGAGGGTCGTGTTTCTTGAAAGTATTTGAATTTTTCCTTGAACTGTTTACATCTACTGCTGTTTAATAGTTGCATTTTAAAGAAAACTCTGGTGTCAAAGCAAGTAGATCCAAGCAATCTACTTGCCAGCAAGGCCAGCTGGTGTTGACTGACCCCACCCTACTGGATACTATACTGGACGACAGGACCATGCGTGACAAAAATAAAGATTCATCCTCACATGCTTCTAACATACAGAATGTCGTTTAATGGACTTCATTCCGCTGCATATGTCAACCATCCCATCATCCAGGCTTCGGTGAAAGAGTATTCCACCCAGAACAACCAGCGTCCGTGATACCAGTCTCAAACTGCATTCAACTGCAAGACCTGCAATACAATCACAGAAAATGGCTTGCTACCCAGCACCAAATGACATTTAGGGACAATATCTATGGACAAAATCTAATAAAAATTGCTCATAGCTGCTAGCTTCTTTACTGCGCCCTCCATTTTTTTTTTACCTTCTTAAAAGAGAGCTGATATATTTTTTTTATGGAACATTTCAAATTCAATCTATGGAAAGAATGTGAACATGTTCTCACTGTTAACTAAAACATAATAACTGTACAGATGGAGGTGATACAGAACGAAAATAATAGCAGTATAATAAAGCATTATATACAGCATACACAATTAAAGACCATATGTGAGGAGGTGTTAATTGACATTATGATTAGAGGGGATACGCTGAATGTTTGCTGTATACATTAAACAGAAAAAGGGGATAAAAAATGTCTGTGAACAATCAATGGTGGTTTTGCACGATAACAATACCACTGAATGTCGTGAACCTTTTGTTCTTAAAAGCGTTTTAAAAACAGTAACAATGTTGAAAGTAAATGCATTTCTCCAATCACAAAGATCAATTTTTGCTTCAGATTGGTCAGGGTTAGGGCATACTCACTTACATCATCACCACATAGAGACAGGTGACGCCAGACCTATTAGACTCCCAATTTATAAGCAAAATGCAGCCAGCAAATAACGTACAAGACAGGTGCAAGAAATGTTAGAAGCTAATATCATTCAGCCCAGTTTTTCTGAATGGCACTCTCGAGTTGTGATGGTTAATAAACGGGATAGCCCTTGCCGCTTTGCCGTAGATTATAGACGAACCAAACCTTATTTTCTCCTCTACCACGTTTTGAAGATGTCGTTGACATATCTTTGATTGTGCTTGTGGCTTTTGGCAAATACCACCCAATCCAGATACAAAACACAAGTCGGCCTTCATTACACCCTATGTAGATGGTGTTTTTGAATGGAATCGCATTCCTTTCGGCCTCAAAAATGCTCCAATGACGTTTCAGCAAACCATTTCAGCCACTAAAAGAAATGTATCGGCGATCCATATTACTATATGTAGATGACATCATAATATTTTCTAAAATGTTTTGAAATTTGAATCACGTCAAGCAGAGACCATATAATATATTATCTATTATATGGTCTCTGCCTCAAGGCAGTATTCCAAAAGGTCAAATAAGCTTGAGTAACTCTAAAACCAAGCAAATGTAAATTCGCGACAAAACAAGTCACCTATTTAGGGCATATCTTTGGCAAAGATGTCATCCATGTTGATATACTTCAACCTAAATTCAGTCTAACAGATCCCACCCCAAAAAAATGTCCATGACATTTCTGAGGTTTGGCCTAGTATTATCTATTATCGCAATTTTTTAGCAAACATTTTTCTTGCATCCCCTCCCTGCTATACAACCTTCAGAAAAAAGACGAGTCATTTGAATGGTCCTTGCATATCCCGACCAAAACAAACCCTTCATCCTCTCAAACTGCAAAATGGTACATTTTAGGCCAACTTGATCCTCATGGCATAACATGTAATGATGTTGTTAATTCATGTCTTTTGACAATACAAGTATCTTCCTTGCCATTGGCCCTGTTCTGTTTTTAGGAACAAACAATGTTGGTTGGTAACGTTTCTTGCTCCTCTGTTTAGTTTATTGTAATTTCACACCAGAGTCAACAACTGTTTCAGTCATAACACAGTGGGACAAGCTGAGTCAATAACCTTTGTCCAAGGATACAACATAGTGTCTTGCATGATGTTGCCTCTTAAAATTGAAGATTTGAAATGACTAGTAATAAAAAAAGGTTACAGACATATTGTCTCTCATGGTGATATCTCTTTGTAAAGGATGATGGCTTTGCTCACGAAATACTCTGTATTGATAAGGGTGGACTTATTGCAATTGAGACTTTTTAGTGAGGCTGAGTTGTTATTGTTAAAAGAAACACGCGTGGCCCTCCACGTCTCCAGATTTAAACTCAATTGAACAATTATGGGATGCACTTGATCAACAACTGCGAACACGTCAGAACCTCAGAATCTCCAGCAGTTGGCACAAGCACTGCAGGCAGAGTGGGTGCACATTCCCCAGGCCACAATTCGGTGGGACAATGATGCCAGTCTGTTTTTGACTCTAATGGTGGTCAATGACAATGATGTGTCATTTTTTAACGATCGATTACCATCTGTTGATAATTTCTATATTTATAATATACATCTAAAATCACTTTTGCGTTGCTTCTTTTAAAGAGTATATCTTCTGGCTTATAAAACCTATAGGGGACTTTGTTATTCTAACACAATTTCTACAGTTAAATATCATCTGTACCAGAGCTGTTATTATTATTATTTATTCTTCAAAATTATATGTCCAGCATATATTTTGTATTGAGCTACATGTCTTTACTTGAGTACATGATCGAGACTTGACTTGACGCCGTCAGGGTTCACTGGACCTGACCACCCCACCCATAAAGGCTACTTGGGAATTCCGTCAGAGTTTGAATATTGGAATGGTCTTACGATGTATTTAGAAATACTTCTATACATCTCTGGACATAGTGGACATGGCATTCCTCCATAAAGTTATTGTCATGAACACATACATAAAATGTGTATACTATTTTGTTACGTTGTCCACGAAAGGACAATTTCAGTAATGACATCTAAGAATGAATGAGTGTTATTGATTGCCAAGTATATTTTTTTTTCAAAATGATCTAAACAGATTTTCAGTACTTTGACAACAGACATATCATTTTTGTTTGAAGTAGTTCTGTATACATGTGCTAATATGGAGCCTTCTTACATGGAGGAAGAACAAACATTATTATCTTGGACTGTTATGACGTCACATAACGTTGATGACTGGGTTATCCTGATATCACATCAAACAAAACAATATGAAATCACAAAAGTCACAGAAACCCGTGACAGTGGGTTCGAATCCCCGTTCCCCCTGATTATGCATTTAGGTTTATCACCACCATACCCGTGTTCGTGGGTTTCACCAAAGTGGTAAAAGCCTAAGATCTCCCTCAAACATCAAACTGCCACGCCGTGATTCACCTGAGGTTGAAAGCAACGTCTAACCCAACTCACTCATTCACGATAGCCAGCTATAACACCCAAGCAGTCCTTTTCAACAACTCAACACTTCAAAACTGTATCTTCTTTGCATAAACTGAATATAAACCGGCAGTCGGGTGCATAAAAACAATAATTCACATCATGGTAACCGTGGGTCACTTCGATATGACCAAGAGAAAGCCATTTACACCAGGAACGGTTGCATATACAAGATGTAAATCACGAAAGGCGATCTTTTTGTATTCAACATCTGCTACGTCAACATTACACCAATTCATAGGAATAATGAGACTCATATTAGCTTGAAAGCATACTCGCATTTATTCAAGTAATGGGACAAAACTCGTGTTGCCTTATCAGTATTCCACACCGGAGTTTTCCTCTATAGCATCTGTGACACAAACAATACGTATGCAGCTAAACCCTGTTACTGGGGATTCCGTGAATTCAGACTGATAATGTTAGAAAGCATAATTAAAGGACATTAGTACGTACCACTGATTCGTCATTCGCTGATTTCACTGGAAACGGTACAAGAAGTTAGGTGAAATAGGGTTAACGTCGTGTCCAAGATTATTGCACTTATGTAGCGAACGTGTGTGTGTGTGCGTGTAATATATATATATATATATATATATATATATATATATATATATATATATATATATATTATATGTATTATTATTATTTTTTATCGTAACGGTGTTGTTTTATTCTCAGCTTCTTATTTACTTAGCTTGCCTACTAATGGCCCGCAAAAAAAAACCTGTGAAGAATCCCGTCCTCAGTGAATGATGACCTATGGCTTCCCGTCGAGTGTGTGTGTGTGTGTGTGTGTGTGTGTGTGTGTGTGTGTGTGTGTGCATGCAAGTCCAGACTGATGCTGATTTTATAGTGTTAGCTGAGACACCATGCCGCAGTTTAACATGAATACCCCACTCAGACACAGTATACCGACTCCGAGCCGACCCGTCCTTGTTTTAGCCCCTTAATGCCCAGCGTCAGACAGGGTAACAGCAAGTTCCATCTTTTAACGTCTTTTGGTATGACGCGGCCGGGGATCGATCCCCGGACCTTCGGCTCTCCGGGCAGACGCTCTATCACTAGACCACCTAGGCGGCCGGAAACGGTACAAGAGGCGGATGAAGTAGTTTGATCACGGGGTGGTACGATGCACACTACCTATGACAAGAACATGGGGCTGATTTGGGTTAGATGTCTGAAAAGTGGGGTGTGATATTATTCAACAGTATGCAATATCCTGCCTTTGCTGTATTTTGTTCGTTCACATATTCAGCATAACTGTATAATCATTTTGTCACTCAGGAGAACAAAACTCATGATAAAAACACTGATTTCAGTCTGCAAACAGCATCCACGCTTATATATATATATTGTTAAAGGAACTCTTTAATGTAAGGGGGCACGGATGGTCCAGTCGTCTAAGGCGCCGGAATAGGCTGTGCGGAGTTGAGTACCTTGAGCACGCCAGACACCCTTGATCGTGGGTTCGAATCCTGGTTCGCCTCGATTATGTTCTGAGTTTGTCAGCACCATACCCGTGCTCTTTCATTTCACCAATGTGGTAACCGTCTGAGACCTGCATTGCTTCGGGCATTCTTCCCACATTAAGTTCACACGAAATGATATAACTGGAATACTGTTCAAAGCGGCGATAAACCCAACTCACTAACTTTAATTTAATTGTGCCGTTTGTTTTTGTTTTGTTTGTTGCTTAACGCCGCACTCAGACGGATTCCAGCTATATGGCGGCGGTCTGTAAATAATCGAGTCAGGACCAGACAATCCTGTGATTGACATCATGAGCATCGATCTACTCAATTGGGATACGATACGACATGCATTTACCAAGTCAGCGAGCCTGACCACCCGATCCCGCTAGTCGCCTATTACGCTCTGATGTGTGTAATTGTTGTTACTGTTATTCCGGCACCTACTATATATATATTCTGTACGATGCTCATTATTCAGCCTTGCTTGGCTACGGTATAAGGATCTATACCGACACGTCGCCTTTACAGTAACTAAAGAAGTTGTAATCCATAAATTGTCTCTACTTTGCCCACAGTAGAAATGAACTCGGCTAGCAATGATGGTGCCTATGGATAAAGACATACATCGCTTTACATCGTTTTTTAATTGTAATGAATTAATCATACCGAGGGGTAGTGCCTTCCCCGGCTTATAAACGCAAGAAATAAGAGAAAAAATAAGAAAACATCGAAATATCATTGAAAAGGCATTGACAAATCCATGTCATGACATCTTAAACTGAACATCCTTTCATGGAGAGCAGTTGAATATTCCCAAGAAGGCAGTGTTCCAAGGTGTAACAGGATGCAGCCACCCACTTTACATAACAAATACATGCACTCATAAGTAAGCCAGCTATATCCTGTTCGTATAAAAGCGGCCATATAATTTATCAGTAAAAAAACCCCAAAACAATCAAAGCATTCCGGTGCACACAAGGCGATACGCCATGGTGAACAAAACAACATGGTATTTTATATTGACTTTATGGGCACTGGAAACACATTTCTACACATGTAGAAGTATGTACAGAGCTCACTCATGAAAGCAGTAATTTAAGATCAGCCGATTACTACCAAAACATTTTTGCTCAACATTGAGAGATTTGACACGTATCTACCAGGGTACACAGATGATTTACATGTTCCTGCAGAGGGATCTGCAACAAGCTTTATGTCGAAACTATTTGAAACATCCCTAATATAAATACGAATATATTCCTTAAATAGGTCAAGTATATACAGAATAGTGTACGAGGAGAACACCAGCCTTTCCTAACTACATGTAGTGTTAATAGTATTTATGTTGAAACCCATCTTTTTTTAATTTATGTATGAGGCCAGCATGCATATTTATCAGATGAAATCTAAGAGCCAGTTGTACGATTACAATGTACGGAATCACTACCAAGCAGTAACGATGCCAGATGTTCGGGAAAACGTGAGCGCATTCTGCCCCACCGGAGGTACACGTCATAAACACACGTTTTCCCCTGAACAAACACGGGAATCTTTGATACAAGTCAAATAGAGAATTGAATCAGACATAATTTTTGTCTCTGATGTCCCCACATGTCTTCCATAAAACGTTTTGACAACTGTATACTGTAGTCATCTATGTTTAATTAATTGAGTCGTGTACAGATTTCGTGGTGTGATATATCCAAATCACGAATTCATATCCATATACTAGTATCAGATGGATGGAATGAAAGGGATAAGAGAAAAACATTTACTTGAAAAATATAATTTTCTACATACATTAACTACCCACAAAAAAAAAAGAATTGTGCATACCAAATATGTAAATTAAATGTAGGCTTGAAATAGGTAATAAAGAGAGACAAAAACACATGATATAAAACGCCATTTGATACTGTGGCGGCTGGAGAATTTGTACAAGACTAAATAGTTTTTTGAGCGTATTTTCACCGGCTGACAATAGTATGAAGCACACACACACACACACACACACACACACACACACACACACATAGCGCAACCGCTTTCATTGAAACAGAAACGCACATGACCCATGACCGCCCCATTTTGGCGCGAGACCGCCGTGTCCACTGCCCTGACCATCCCAGGGAACCGGACAATCCACCCAAACAGTCCTGAACGGTCTCTCATACAGTTTACCCTGTTAGTTATAGCGATTTTTACCTCTGCACATTATTCATGTGGCTAGTATCAGGTAAGCTACCATTCGCTAACTGAGACTTTTAACTGAAACAAAATAAGAACTGAGAGATTGCCTTTTCCAAGTCTGAGAGCACCAATGAGTATATTGCATCTTCGTTTAAATTTGTGATATTTCTTAAGAATCCCTTTTTAGATTTCATGAATTTCCCAGATCATTGTTCTCATTATGGTGTTTTGTATTTTGTATAATAATAATTATATTTATTCTGTTTTATTTATTTTTAACATTACTAAATTGATGTCATCGTAGCTCGTTGCGTTTTCTCTCACTTAACAACAGTGAGCAATGTCGTGTCCGGTTCAGCTCAAGAATACATGGTAATGATATGATAAATGCAACCAATAACTACCTCGTGTGGGCGGACACTTCGAATTTTCTATTGGACGAGTAGGCGTATACGTAGCTTTACGGATCTAGTTGATTATATATGGCTCCGATTGCACAACTTCTTCACTCCAGCCCTGGACCAGACACAGAAGACAACGACGGTCATCTCCAAAACGGTAATATTTATATTTCCATTTTGCCGCTTTTCGAAATTGGGGAAATTTCTCTATAATATTGGCTTGTCTTGTCTTGTAATGTGTGAGTATTGAGTAGCCGTATTGTTTTACGCCGCTTTTAGTATGATTCCAGTGTAATCATCAAACGTTCCCAGAGAACACACGCGGGTCACTGCTGTAAACAATACACATCTTCATTCCATAACTGTACAACTCCAACTGTCCTAACGGGCGAACTGCTCTCTCCTTCATTTTATTCTTACCTTGAACCCGCTTACCTAGGAAGGCATGCATCCCCTTCGTCACTCTCTTACCCAGAGTTCCTTGCGGCCGGCAGCCAGCCTAGTACCCCTGCCCACAGGATAATAATAATAATAATAATATATCAAGTCGGCCCAGACTCAGTTTTTTCAAGGAAAGGCTATCTGAACGACCACTGCATCGAGTTTATGTGAAGTGTGTTGAGATGAAGTCGTCTGGCCTGAAAAGTGAAACAGAAGGCTGCTCAGAACCAGTCACTTCCCAGTTGAAACCGTCAAAGTGCGATTTTGCATCAAAATGTTAAATATGAAATGCAGATTATGTAATGAATTTAATGAGACTGCCCAACACATTGTCAGTGGATTGTGCTCTGGCACAAACACAGTATCTTAAACGACATGTTGGTGTAGCTCGATCATTTTATTACCGTCTTCGCCATGCTTGTTGTTTTGACACAGAGGTCATGGTACGACCAGGAATATGTAGAGGGCGTCATGGAAAATGATACATACAAAATTCTTTGGAATAGGCCCATTTACAACCTTAGACGTATCCAGGCCAACAAACCTGATCTTGTCATTCTTGATAAATCCAATGAAATCATTTATATCATTGAATTGTCTGTCCCCTTTGACACTAATGTGATTGACAAGATTGGGGCAAATATGCGGACCTCGCTTTCGAAATGTCACGCTTGCATTCCAAGTACCAAGTTGTCCGACTCCACATTGTTCTCTGTGCCTTAGGTTTGGTACCTCCCAATCTACTGACTGACATTGGGAGAGTACCGGGTTTGATACCAGGAATACAGCCCTTCTGACAATCTGGGTAATGCAGAAGGCTTGAGAAGTCTCATTCGCTACCTGGGCTGCTTGTAGAGGGGGCAAGGGCCCTGGGAGAAGTCCCATTCGCTACATGGGCTGCTTGTAGAGGGGGCAAGGGCCCTGGGAGAAGTCCCATTCGCTACCTGGGCTGCTTGTAGAGCGGGCAAGGGCCCTGAGCTGATGATGAGCCTAACCAGCCTGACTGTGCCAGGATCACCCAAATCCTCTTTGCTGCATTTTGTATTTTAATCTGTAAATAATAATAATAATAAACTCGCCAAATAAATCGTACCCAAGCTCCTTCCCAGCGCGTGACACCTTCGTTACTCTTTCGGTAACATCGCTGCCACCAGTGGGGGAGCGGTCGTTACAAGAATCTTGACATGTGCTCTCTAACCCCAAATGTAGTAATGTTTATACTTTTGTTTATGTCTTTGGGAATGTCATCATAGTAAACCTTGAAAATGTTTACGACTGACCAGATTTTGCAGAAGAAGTTTTAGTTTGTCTAATCAGATTGGTTCGAGATTTTCTAGCAATATGCCTATATTGTTGGATGTTTGTTGGAAAATAAACGCATCAGCCATATATATTCCCGATAAGAACGTGATACGTGTTGTAGATTTTACATGTCACATAAGTCAAGTGTTAAAAAATATGAAAATGGTCATCGTGTTTTTCAAGCCCTACCTTTTTGTAATGTATGTAACTAAGGCTACGTAATGCTTGCTCTCATTGTCCACATTATGCGAATACTAGGACATGTTATTGGACCCCATTCTTTTATATACATGAAGATGTGGGGAAATAGTGAGTGAGTAGTGAGTTGGGTTTAACGCAGATTTGAACAGTATTCCGATTATATCACAGCGTGTCAGCTTAATGTGGGAGGAAAGCCCGAAGTGATGCAGGTCTTCGACGTTTACCACCTCCGGGAAACCCACAAGCACGGGTATGGTGCTGACAAACCAAGAAACTTGTCCGGGGCGAACCGGGATTCGAACCCACAATCCTAGGTACCTGGAGTGTCCTAGGGACTCAACTCTAAAAAATTGGGGCGCCTTAGACAACTGGGCCAACCCGTGCCCCCCTTCACACACACACACACAAACACACACACACACACACACACACACACACACACACACATTCCCCCTACCCCACCCTTCTGTGGCAACTCGGGTTCCGTGCGCAGAATATTTTCAAATACATGATCTTTCAATATCACGACTTCGTTACTCTGTTAAATTGATACATATCTTTTTCAGGTAGCTGCTGTTTCTTCAACAAGCTGCAAGAACAATGGTATGTTTATAAGTGATTAGTTTAGTTTACAGGCAAATATAAAAAGGACAAACTCACTGATTTCCACATATTTCAGATAAGGGGCCGACTGTTTGATATTCGTTGGTAGTCGGTGGTGATTAGGACTGTGATCTTTCTGAAAAAAATGTTCTAGCAAATACTGCAACCAAGTCATGGGGCCTCAGGTTTACCTAAAAATCATGTTCGATGGACATACTGCGTGTCCCCTTGCAAAGAATGTGTTGTGAAAATAAATTTATCTGCTGCTCCTTCAGAGAAAATAATGTTTTAAGCCTTGAAAAAAATACCCGTCTGTAACAAAAATCCCAGTCAGATTGGCTGATGCGGGAAATTGTTTTATCAAGTTTTATTTATAATTTTAAATACTGTAATTTTGATTATTCTTAAAAGTATTTCTCATGTATAGTACAGTCATTTGATTACCTATATACTGGCGGACTAAAGAAAATAACACTCTTGTTTGACAGTGGCTATAATTGAAACAAATAAGAAAAACTTATTCGATGGTGGTATACGGGTAACATAGTTGTGTTTTGACCTTAAGTTTGCAGTGCCACGTTTGTAATTGTTTGGTCACATCCAGTTTCAAGTGAATACATGTACTTTCTTTTGTCTGGCAGTTTTTATGTGGCAACGTCCCAGCGTGAGTATTATCCAAGATTATTTTCCAGGCAAGCTGGTGCAACTCTCCCAAGGTGACCCTCTACGAGAAACAATGTTTTACCGGTAGATGTCTGCAAGTCTTCGAGGATCGCCCTAATTTGGGAGGGTTTGACAACTCGGTTTCCTCGGCCATTGTACACGAGGGAGAGTAAGTACATATATGATCAATACAAAAGTAAATGTTCTTATAAAGTACTATATGACCTTTTCAGAAGAATAACTTCACCATTTTGCTTTGAATATCTATTTTAGACGCAATATGTTTCGAAAGATTTAAACAGGAATTAAATTCAGTTGCAATATTTTTTTAATTCATTCTTTCAAATTCAAATTATTCGCAGTGCGTTTTGAGTTTTGTTGCTTACTAAGTGTTTTATGTTCTTTTTAAAAGATAACCTTCCTTTTCTTGAGTATCTATCTGTAAGACCCAATACGTTTTCGAAAGATTAAAACAAATAGTGAGTGAGTGAGTGAGTATGGTTTTACGCCGCTTTTAGCAATATTCCAGCAATATCACGGCGGGGGACACCAGAAATGGGCTACACACATTGTACCCATGTCCGAAATCGAACCCGGGTCTTCGGCGTGACGAGCCAACGCTTTAACCACTAAGCTACCCGCCCGCCCCTTAAAACAAATAAATTAAATTACAATTTTATCATTTCAAATTCTGCCCAGTATTCGTTTTGTATTTCTTTGGTGACACAATGCAACGTCCAATTAGAGATGAACAACAGTTTGAAAGGCATAGAGTAATGGAGGCATAGAGCTTGTCTGGTCTGTCCAGAGATTTTGCTTTGTTGTGTACACAGTTGATCAAACTATTTGCCAAACTGATTGTCCGTCCCGACGAATTCCTTCAATCTTAACATAACTTGACACGTGATTCGGTTTCTCGAAGCTATTTTGTTTGTCCCCAAATGAACAAAATTGCCTTGATCAGTACATGTAGAAATGTTGATATGTGGATCTTGGTGCATCGCCATCAATGTCAAAACTAGAATTCATTGTTTCTATGTATATCATTTTTATTCATAGCTACTCATTTTGTCAACATTAGAAATGCACGGAAACCACATTTATTTAAATGTTTTAATGTTTATGCTTTCAGTTGGGGCCTTTACAGTGAGATCAAATATTCCGGGAAGCGGATCATAATATCTGAGGGACAGAGCTACCCTTCTCTTCCTGGTTTGAACAACGCTGCATCCTCCATCGCTAAACTTTAAGGTATTAATCTTTGCCTTTTATGAGAGAGCTTTTGAAGACAGTTTTATGACTGTCATGATAGCCGGTGTTGGCTGGAGTGGAACTGGGATGTTTTCGACACAGATGTGATTTGTCCTCAGATTTTACCACACACACACACACACACACACACACACACACACACACACACACACACAGGCACACACACACAGGCACACAGGCACACACAGAGGCGCACACACACACACACACACACACACACACACACACACACACACACACACACACACAGAGGCACACTTGACCGCTTTGGGAAAACCTACCAGCTGCACTGTAGAAATTGTGTTCACATTCTAAACACAAACTTATACACGTTTCTTGTCCCATAATTTTGACATGTTATGGTCTTAACATGTTTAGGATTGTTCAACAGTTAAACGTGTTTAGGGTCTAATTGTGTATACCACATACTCAACATGTTTAAACTTTAAAATATATTCATGTTTTAACTCTGAACATGTTTATATTATGGGGACGTTGTGTTCAGGTGGTCTTTTTGGCTGTGAGACAATACCTCATTTCATGTGTCATTCGTTGTGTATTCCGTGTGGGATTTAAACACATTCATAATCATGTTTAGATCTAAACATGTCTTGTCTGTGTTTCTATCCTAAACACATTTTTTACAGTGGAGATAGGGTGCTTTTAAACCAGTTAGAATCTGGTATTCCAATCCTGAACATATGAACACAACTCAGCTCAGCGATTTGCGGCGTCTCGGTCCCAACTATTCAGATGTTTATATTCTTTGTAATATCTCTCCACAGATGAAGACAGCACAAAGCAGCAGCTCTTTCATAGATGGAAGACTCGTGGATATAACAACTTGTTTACTATTCTCCTAAGCACCTACACTCGTAGTGAGCCAGTCCATCAATGCTGTATGTAATAAAGTCCCTTTATCTCTGACACGTGTATCCCCTTGTAGCCAGTTCTGTTGAAACAAGTACACCTGGAAGGCAAAAGCAAATATTATATTGTTAAATTGGAAGAATTGTTCCAAAAATATCCTTTGATACTTCATGCTTCAAAACTGCACGCCAAGTAGGTATTTTAATAGGAGCGGCGACGCAGATGTCTAAAAAACATGGACTGTTATAGTAACTTTGACCTTTTATTGATAATGAAACAGAAAAATGAACAAACGTGTAAATGCTTGGATTTATAGTTGCGAGATCAGTTGTGCCATTAAACGTCAATAAAAGATTTTAAAATGTCTGATGTTTTTCCTTCTGTGTATTCTTTAGTTCATTAGGGGCGGTGGGTAGTCTAGTGGTTAAAGTGTTCGCTCGTCACGCCGAATACCCGGGTTTGATTCCCGACATGGGTACAATGTGTGAAGCCCATTTCTGATGCCCCCTGCCCTGATATTGCTGGAATATTGCTAAAGCGGCGTAAAACCATACTCACTCACTAGTTTATTTACTGGTTGCATGAAATAGCGCGTGTACAAAACTGGTTTATAAAAAACAGTTCCGGTTATTAATTTGAGTGTGATAAGCTGAAACCAGATTGAGGTTCAGATTGTTAAAATTAATTTCGTGGCAGTCCGGGACAAGCCGCATGTCGACTTGTGGGTTACAGAAAGAGAAGGGTTATCAAAACTGGGTTTGTTTTCACCAAATCGGGACCAGCTCAGGTCATGCAACGAAATATTTTTGGTAAAACCCAGAGGCGAAATTTTCTTTAAGTATTTGCTGGAAGAAATGTTTTCTATAGATACTCAGTCCTCCCCGCGCAGGCACCCTACGTCAACAACACGTCCAGGATCGATTCCAGGCTTTAAGAAATCGAACCCAAACAGCCAATCAAATCGCTGTTCACTTGCGCTAGGCCATCGAAGTTCTAGTTACTGACCAGACAATTGTAATCGTCTGCATTCAGCTAGTTTGCAAGCTCGGCAACCACATGTTATACCACCGTTTACAAATCGACACATTCTAGCCAGTCACCAGTGCTGTTTGGGAGTTAGATGAGTCAAGATTGACTCTGGACTTTCTGATAAGCGTGGATGTGTCTGGGGGCGTCCTGACGAACGTCATGCGAGCTTAAAACTAACGCAACATGACAGATTTGGTCTCTAATGATATGGGGCGGGATTACTATGACTGCCAGAACGCTACTACATATTGTTCATGGAAGGGCCACTGGACAGTACTACCGAGTCAACATACTGGCGCCAATAGTTTTGTCTTTCAAAACGATAAGGTTAGTGCCCACCATGCGAAGAGATGTAGCGTACATGCACGTCACTATATAAGTGCAATAATCATGGACGCGACGTTAAACCCCATTTCACCTCACCCCTTACTTATATTATCATCAGAGTACATTAAGTTAAATGAAATATTTCAAAATCGTCGTTCTGTGAGTTTGAAAATAGTACAACAACGATATTACTCTCTCGCAATCTCTAATGCCATCCATAGAAATGCAAACAGAACGATGCGGGTCGCTGGGAAAACGGGTATACAGTTACACAATGGATAAAGATCTGGAAATGCCATTACAAGCAGGATATATGATCACAATGCATGTTAAAACGATTATTCGCTGCGGATGCAAGACAGTTCAGTACTATTTCATCACCCTGTATTGTATGGTCATTTATCTTGTAATTTTGTAATGTTGTAATTTTACGAACCGCTGGGAAAACACGCTGCTCGGTTAGATAGAGCTCCCCGCCGTTGGAATAACGACATGGTTACGACAAGGTGTGGGGATCCTGGGCGGAACATGACGATAGATATTGGATAGAGTGTCCTGACTCCAAAATATGCAGGGTGTACGATGCAGCGCCACAAAAAGTCAACACTTGAAAATTGGACTTGACGAAATGCCATATCGCCTATGATAGCCGTATCAAATACATCAATATCGAATAATCAGTTCTTGTTTGTTTTATATTATAAGCCACCATCAAACATGACTGTAGACTTTCTTTTGTCTGGCAGTTTATTAACACAAAGCGCGTTAAATCACTTTGTCCGTTACTGGTCATGATGTATGGCGGTTCAGTACGCATTCGATTTCATTTGATTTTTCTTTCGATGGTGGGAATCATTCAAGTATTTGTGGTAAGCTTTTACAATTGTTTTGTACACGGGTCCTTTCACAAAGGATTCAAAGACTGGTGTAGGGGTAAGCTCTCCACGTGTGGGAAACAGCAGCAGTTACATATATTTACATTTTGTTAAAAAGTTCGGGTATGGCATCCATATAGTCTATCTCTAATCTGTCCCGTACATATTGCCCAGTAGGAACAGGTCCCCTATAGTCGTAATAGGCGACTTTGTGGATAGAGCGGTCAGACTCGGTTACCAAGTTGGTATATATTTGGATAAGTGAAATACGCTTTGCTTATGTCATCGCCAACTGGTGAGTGAGTGCGGGAGGGATCGAGGGAGATGTCTATATACCGTACAAAGCCATTTGGTTATCTATGCTTTTGCCAATGTTGGTCCCACGGCATTCCAATTGCATTCAACAGAAGGAATCAATCTCATTAAAATCAGATCTCATTTCTCCAACCAGTAAACAAAGATCTTTGTTTATATTAGGTAGCGAGAACTAAGATCTGATTTTAATGAGATTGCAGTAGGAATGGGAAGGACCTTACTGAATATAAACACTGTTGAAAGGCATGGTTTCAATAACATGGAACCTTTTATATATACTTTCAAAGAGCATTCATTGATGCAGTAATAAACTTGTCTTTGATTTACTTTTGAGAATGCTGAAAATACGGAATATCATGAAGACGGAACACCTTTCATACATTGCAATAGCGTATTTATCACATTTTGGGAAAAGGTCCAAAATAGGTGAAATATATATACACCAATTGATTCATGTTATGTCACTGTACTTATAAGGAAAACAGGGGCGGTGGGCTAGCCTAGTGGTTAAAGTGTTCGCTCGTCACGCCGAAGACCCGAGTTCGATTCGCTGAATGGTACAATGTGTGAAGCCCATTTCTGTCCCCCGCCATGCCGGATATTGCTGGAATATTGCAAAATGCGGCGTAAAACCACACTCACTATAATGAAAATGAAAACACGGTTTTTACACAGGTAACAACATCCGACCGACGTTTGTTTATCAACAACTCTGCCCCATCTAATTTTAAAAAAAAAATTATACAAGCAGTTGAATAGCGAAGAGACCTGGAAAATGTACTATTTTCTCCTCATCAATTTACTTACCACTTCTTTGTACTTTGGCCCACCGTGATATTGCTGGAATATTGCTAAAAGCGGCGTAAAACCATACTCACTCACTCACTCTTTGTACTTTGGTGGTATTTAGCTTTTATCACAGAGGCCATTTTACTGTCAGACTCGCTTCCCCTGTTTTTTTATCAATATATATTTTATATGTATTATTATCTTTTTTTACCGTGACGGTTGTTTTGTTCTCAGCTTCTTATATCCGTAGCTTGCCTACTGATGTCCCGTAAAAAAAATGTGAAGAATCCCGTCCTCTGTGAATGATGACCTATGTCTTCCCGTCGAGTTTAAAAAAAAGTATTTCAATAATGAAATACTTCAAAATATGTCAACAAAGGAATTGAGGTAATCCTTTGGATTATCATTCCTCAAAACACTATCTATTTCATATTTAGTTTTACCCATTCGTTGTTTTACGACATCATTACAAACACTATTTCATGTGGTTTTGGGGGGTAAAATTTACCGCTTATGCTCTAATATTATTATTTTCAATCCGTTTTCATATGGAGTAATGAGATATCCATTTTCCGGTCTGGTTGTCCTGGTTTCTTTTGTTTAAACCATGTGTATATGGTTCACAACAATGATTAATTAAACACCTACACTTTGCTTTTGTTGTCATTGGCAGATAAATTACGTATACCATTTAATACAATTCAAAGCGTGACTTCCTATTGAAGTGAAAGATGAGCAAAGCTGTTTTGAAGAAATGTCACATTGGTTTGAGGCTAACCTGGTTTTTTATACAGTTGGCGATACGAATATATGTAACAGGCATAAAAATCTAACAAATCTAAGGAAGAAACCGTATTAAAATACCCTGAAATTAATGTTTGAAAATGTAAGGATGTTTTCCAAAGAGAAAATGATTGTGAACATAAAACGAAGTAGATCTAATTGTTCCAGAGTTGTTAGGCAATTAAATAACTCCAAATATTGATATTCGGTCGTTATTATCGTGATAGATTCGGTTAGTTGGCTAAACCAGAGGCCATATTCGTTTTATGGTCTGGTAGGTAACAGGTTACAGTTTTAAACATATTTATAACTGCAGGGTAAATAAGGAAACCGAAATCTTGATTTTGTAAATGGACATGTAGGTTTAAGGAATGTGTGGAGTTAGCATCTGTGACTTATATCTTATTATATTCCATAAAGAATAAATACGTGCATATGAAAATGCTGAAGATAGGTATAGAAGGCTGGCGTGTATATATTTGTTAGCGGTATGCATGTTGTGATCTACTTTCGAGATCAATATTTTACTCCGCTCATTACGTTAGTTCGTTTGAATACGGCTAAACATCCCCCATATAAAGTCTAACTTATATACACACAATTGTGGGTTAAAATAGGAATAATAACATGAACACCGAATGTAAAATCAGATATACTACCGCGAACTATTTTGTATCATATTTCCCCAAGCACTTCCGGGTTGTAATTCGGTTCGAAAATGATGTCTGCTGATTAGAATTCATAATGTCTTGAGCTTTCGTTTGGACGCTGAATGTAGGCGAATGGTAAGGTTACGTTGCAAGTGAATTCTGTCGATAAGGAATAGAAGTCGGATTCCGTATAATTTTGACTCTTTGTTATTTTGTTGACGTTTGCGGTCAACGGAATCAGTACTGAACGAGCAGATTTACGGTTTTGTCACCATCTTCAACTGAATCACAGCGCTTGATCACATCTGTGTAGTAATTAAACACAGAACACTGGTGTGTCACTGAGACAACCGGTCACTGTGACTTTCCATTCCATTTGGTTAGGGTGAATTGACTGTTCTTGATTTTTAATCTTGCTTTTAGCATATATTAACGAAATCAACATGATCAAATAGGGTCCACTCCAGGATTCTGACAGCTCCATGGGGGACTACGCGTTGTGTAGAAATGTGTGGAAAAAGGATGTGTACAAACTATGAATATCACACATATTGATGATGGGCATGGCGTTTTCCTGGTTATTAGTGTCATGATGCTTTTTTTTCCTAATATGTAAGCACATTTTCATGACAATAGTGGTAAAAAAGGTACATATATGTGTCAACTTTGTGCCCCAATCAGACTATTTTAGTAGATTTGCATCTGTAAATGTAAAAGGCTAGATTGTCACTACTAAGAGATAATTATCCTGGCTAATCTTGTTAATGTCCCAGACTGTCGCTTGTCAAGTTGTCATTATCACATACACGTCTTGTTTTATGTCAAAATAATTTAATTAGGCCTACCGGTATATGATGATCTGAAAAGAACAAAAATACACATTGTGAGTGAGTTGGTGCTGTTTTGAGTATCAGTCAGCAATATTCCTTTACCAGTCTGGATCGTGCAAACCAGCTTGTATGTAGTTGGCACTTCGAAGCATGAAGTCTAGTCTTATGTATTTACACATAATTACAGGCTGTCCTTATGTAGCTTGAATATTGCTGTATGCAGTATTAAACATTTTTACAATAACCTAAGCAATTAACATAGCTAGGTTTATTTTATTAACAGTTTATCATGGTTAGTTCAACCATGGCAATGTCATCTTTGTAAGCTTAGGATTTGTGAATCTCTGTTTTGTTTACATAAGACCTGATATATCATGATGTATGTTATCTATATATTTTGTCTTACAGAAAATACCATAATCATTAAAAATGTCATCGGCAAGCAACCTGGCGGTGCCCATGGTGCTGTGGGGCAGGTATGCTCCTACACATTGTATATCTGCCATTCTCATGACAGCAGACATGAAGAATATAGTAACTGGATGCAATGATGGACAGATATGTATATGGGACCTCAATGAGAATTGGCAGGTTTGTTCATTTACTTGTTTATATCTCTGACCATGCCGTTTATATTCCCCCAGTTTTGAAAAACGAGGGGAGTTGGGGGGTGGTGGGATATAGCGATCAGCAAGTCAGTCCGTTTTCCCTTTTCAGAGCATTTTTTTCTTCAGAGCATTCTTTTATGTTTTCATGATGACAAGTTGACTTAGCTGAAAATGAGGGTAGTGTTCATTTCCAGGGCAGAACTCCAAAATCATTGAATATTTCTGGAGATCAGACTAGTGGTGAACTGGTACCTTTTGGTAATTTGGGATTTGAAAAATACTGAACAGCATTATGTTTTTCTTCACAGAACTTAAAGTATCCAATAGCATATCTTTTTGTTTCATGAGCAGTGTTAATGCTAGCCCAAAAAGTAATCACTAATATCCATCTGGGTTAATTTAGAACTTTATAATTCAGAATAATTTTGTTTCATTGTCATGACTATACTTTGCAGATCATGCTGATGAAGAAAAGGTTGCTGATTATTTTTGTATAAATATATTGGTATAAAACTATAAAAAGTTAATCATTTATATTGATCATTGATATTGATGTTGATGATTTGTCATGTTTTGAAGTGCCATCATGATCAATGAGAAAAAAGGTTTTGTGTCTGTGTTTCATTTTGCATGTTTTGTGTTCTGTATTTTGAAGTTCTTGTGCACATCAAATATTGATCCAATATTTATCCTTGCAGCTGTACCCCAGGAGCATGTTGTTTGGACATACAACAGCTATCAGCTGCCTGGCCCTCGGCTCGGACAATCCGTTAACATCTTATGTTGTCAGTGCCTCAGAAAATGGGTAGGGTGTTTTTTGACTGAAGTCATGAAATGCCTTAACTTCAAAGCACAAGATTTCTCCTTATTTTTGTCTGATGAACAAACTATGACTTTCATTATCAGTAAATGTAAATGAAGTCTTAAGATGATTTCCATGATGATATAACGTTATCTACAAGAATAATATAATATACAGAAACTGTGCCAAAAACATTTGAGTTTGATACCCTGAATCCAACTGACAGCAGCAACTCATTTTCAGTAGAATTACATTGAATTATTCCAACCTTGGCGTTCTAGACCAAGCTAATTTTACTTGATTTAGGCTTAAGATTTGTGTCTAAGGCCGCTGACTGCACAAATTATGTGTGTGTGTGTGTGTCACTGTACCTCAAAAACTGAAATGTTTTTATGTCATCCATTCATTTTTTTCAGTGAGATGTGTTTATGGGATATCACTGATGGTCGATGCATTGAACACACGAAGATGTCTATTGTGCACACTGATATTAATGTGAGTATTGCCTGCCTGCAGCTGAGAGAGATGCAGTGTCTGACATTCACAATCAAAGGAGGGCTCTCCACATGATATTGGTGGAATTTTTTGCCTTTAATACAAGCATGATATTGCGATTTCATGTATCAATACACAACCATACAGACCGCCTCTGTGCAATAATCTTGGACGCGACGTTAAACCCCATTTCACCTCACCTCACAACCATACATGTAGAGTACGACTTTCTGACAGTATGTTACCATGTACGAGTACATTTGCAAGGGCCATCGCTGGCATGGTTGTTGAATTGAGTCAAGTTTGCTGGATATTTCTAAAGTATCTAGGCATTCCCTTTCATGTCAAGATGGTATCCTTTCATGACTGCACTATCAAGATATATATCTAAGGTTACACATTATGTTCTTGTAGCCCTGTAATCTGTAGTGGTATTTATGTGTCCCTGTGGGGATTCTGGTTAGAATAAATCCACAGCAACCTATGCCAGTTGTAGGTGGCAACCAAATGAATGAGGTTCCCTGACATTGTGGATTGCTCCTCACAATATCAATCACTGAATTGTTTGGTCCAGACTCATTTATTTACGGGCGTCATACAGCTGGAATACTGCTGAGTGCGGTGTTAAAACAAGAAACAAACAAGTATTATTGTTGTACCTGAACGAAACTACCCCAAGTTGAGCATGGTTTACAGTTTTTGAAATTAGGAACAAACAATTTAAGGATTCCTGACTTTAAAAAAACAATAGCAATATAGTGGAATGATCATCTCAGCCCCTTTATTTTAATCTGGTCGTCCACCTTGTGACAGACAGAGAGTCACTGTTATCAAAAACTGGTTATACACTGTAGTCAGGATCCAGTGGGAAAGTTTCAACATGTATAACATTGCAGATGTAGAGTAAATGTCTTGCATCTTGATTATTTTCTACACCCAGGCCTACAGATTCCGCTCTTCTAAAGAACTGAGGCTTGTGTGTAATGGCTACTACCCAGAAATCCATGTCATCGATCCCCTCAGTTTTGAGTTGTTGTGGTCACTGTGCTCCAAACTAGCTCCAGACTGGATCAGCGCCTGCTGTGTACTTCGACCAGTCAAAAGAGAGGGTAACTATATTCTTAGCCATGTTGGCTCAAAGTGTCTCAGTTTCCTTTCAATAACAATATATAACACAAGCTGGTATTCTATTGGTGTAATTAAGTATGTGGCTAGGCTGTAACAAATATGGGTGTAAGAACATGTAATGAGACAGCACCTGACCAGCTGTGACCTCCGTGGGCTAGTTTAATTACTTTTTCAGTGGCAGTTACATACATTTACCATGATTACGAAACTCCTTCATTAAACATGGATGCAGAGTTGTGTCCCTTAGTCAAGCCATAATTTTGTTTGATTTTCACTTACACGATCTCATTTCCCATATATCTTATATGATCATTATGTAAATAAAGCCTGTACATTTAAACATGTTCATTACATTCTAACAAATGCTGTTGAGTCTACTAGCCTGAACTTGTCATTTTCGGTAGATTTTAACATGAATATTTATATTGGCTGTTTATACATGTTATAAGCTGATGTTATTGGAGCGAATGACATTTTCCTTGACTCGTGTTCAGACACTGCATTATTATCCTTGGCACAAAAGTGGGGCAGGGGGTGTTGGAACGGAGTTCGTCCGTCCGTCCGCTTCTCAATGGGGACAGATTTCTCAAAAATTATTCAAGTTAGAGAAATGAAATTTTGCACACTGATGTTACTGGTCACAACCCTCAAATTAGTTCGAAAATTGGTGTCTTACATTCATATTTTACAGAGTTATGGCCCTTGCTCCATACTGAGTGAAATTGGGACAAGTTTTCTCAGCAACTACTGAAGTTACATGAATGAGAGTTTGCATGCTTATCTAAGACATACCTGTCAAGATTGAGTTTGAATATTGGTCCCATCAATTAATTCTTTACAGAGTTATGGCCCTTGCCCCATGATTTTCAACTTGGTGCATAGTGTGTGCAATGAGGACACATTTTCTCAGAAACTATTGAGTTAAATGAATGAAAGATTGCATACTTATGTAAGAGATAGTTGTCAAGACTGAGTTCGAAAATTGGTCCCGTCAAAAAAATTTTTTTACAGAGTTATGGCCCTTGCCCCATGTTTTTCTACTTAGTGCAAAGTGTTTGCAATGGGGACAAATTTTCTCAGAAACTACTGAAGCTACAACAATCAAAGTTTGCATGCTTATCTTAGAGATAGTTGTCAAGACTGAGTTTGAAAATTGGTCCCGTCAATTAATTGTTTACAGAGTTACGGCCTTCAATCCGTGTTATTTGTGCAATGGGGGCAAGGTTTCTCAGAAACAACTGAAGTTAGTTTGTCTAAGAGATACTTACAAAAACTGAGGGTTGTTTTTTTTCAGAGAAAGGACCTTTTGTGTGCATTAATTTCACATTTAATTTTTTTTTTCTGATTACAAAAAGCGGCCCAATTGACTGTCTCTTCTTTAGGCTTTATGGGGTTGTTTTGTTATAGTTTTTGTTCACTACTATATGAACAAACAAACTAATGTGCCTCATGCCGGGGGTAAGTGATAGCGCTGTTTTTACTGATGTGTCATTAATGGCAATGTACTTGGTCTTTTCATGACTTTGTTTTTCTGAAACTACAACTGCATGCCTGGATATGATCATCATGATGTTAAGTAAGGATAAGATATATGGAAGAACAACTTCTTTATTACAATTAGGAGCGATGTTTCGGTGTAGGTTCTAACACCGATATCAAGCAAGTGATGTACAGAGTGTGGTTGATAAGTATATATTATATATGTACAGGTAGGAGGTAGTGTTTATACAGTAGAGTAGATTTAATCATGATGTTTCTGCTATTTCCAGATGATGTAGTGCTAGCTGTATCTAACTCCGGAACTGTCAAAGTATGGACACTGACCTCTGAACCCAAGGTAAGACTACTGTTACTCATCGAGAATTAATTTTAAGATCTTTGTTTAATGGTTGTTAATACATTTACCTGTATCAATTCATGTGTTAATCCTGTATCTATTCATAGCTTAATTATGTTGATCTCTTATCATTTAATACAGCAATGGAATGACTGTGTTAGCAAAACTACATCCTAACTATATTTCAATATAATTTTATCATCAATGATTTATGTGAGATGTACATTGTAGTATGATTGTACGATGTACATAGTTTTAAGACTTACATTCTGTTTTTGTCATTTTCTAACTGGTGTAGACAATAAAGTTTTATCTGAAATAAAGTATTGATTGAAATGAGACATTTATTTTTCAAATATGAGACCTTTTCAGAACTATGTTTATAGACATTTTAGTGTTAATGGTGTGAATCACAGTATTGTGTTGATATTGTTGTACAACTTTATTTACAGACCAAGTCAGTCTATGAGGATGAATCGAAGCAGATTCGCTGTCTGAATGCTCAAACTTTAACATGCTGCCCGTACAACCAGCGGACTGTCCTCATTGTCTGCTCCAAGTACTGGCAGGTAAATCACATTCTGTCGTCATGGCAACTATTTTATCTTTATTGAATCCAGTGTTCCCAACCACCCATCCCTCAGTGTTCATAGAAAGCTTATTGATGATGGTTTAACGTTTTGCTTTTATTCCGAATAGATTTAAAAATTAATAAATCTCCCATTTCATCTTTACTAACATAAGATGTTTAATAACTTTATCCATACCACTTCACAGTCACATCATCCTAAGGTTTGAAATAAGCTTCCACTATTTCACAGTAGTATCATCCTGAATAAGTCAGTCCTGATATCTTAAAAGTTTTTTGTAAAATCTCTTTGTCATGGAAACAATTATTGGTTTTGACTTGTGTAACTTTCATAAAAAGGCTTTACACTGGTTTGATTATTTGAGGCCATTGTAATTGTTTATTCTGATGTTACGTGACTATTTGTGTATGTAACCATGGTAACTGTCTTGTGAATGTTTCCCTGTCTTGTCATTATTGATCAAGCATGCCTTTATGAAAAAAAAAAAATAGATAGTTCAAGTTTAGTTCTTTCTGAATTATTATTTCTTTTTTTCTAAAAGTGCATTTGTCTGCATAAACATGATAAAGGTCATGATTTTGAGAATGCCTTTTGAGTAGTACTTCTCTCCTAAACAATATCAAGATGTGAAGTTATTCAAATATTCCATGAACAGAATGTGATCACGGGGGATGTCGGCAGTTTCTCACTCTGGTTGATTTACATGTTTGACTTCTATGTCAGCTATGTACCAGTATAAAAGTAATAGCTTACTGTGCATATGGAAACTGATTACAAGTGTGTCATTAACAGTATGTGTAAGATCAGCATTTACAAAATGGTTTGATAATAATTATCTTAATTAAGATGTTCCACTGTATGCTTTATCCTGTTTAGTTATTACATTTTCGCAATATGTGACCATTTTTACACATGTAGGCACAGAATTGTATTTGTATTGATGGAATTGGCTTTAGAAACTAAATGCAGACTTACCATGCTTATAGTCCCAGATAACAATTTCAAGGTTTTCTTTATTATGTGCAAGGACAGCTTGAAACACAATTAGATCTTTTGACTGGATACCTGCTAGTGTTATTTCACGTCCTCTTGATCGAAAAATAAATTACATGTACCATCATCAGCTAATAGAAATATAGGATTAGTATGGATATTTGTATTGATAATATTGGTGAATATTGTTTTTTTAACATAGTTTTTTAATATATTTGTTTCTTTTTCTAGGTGGTTAATTGTTTGTTTTTTATCTGTAGTTACCATCAATTACTTCTTCATCCCTACTCTCTGTATTGAAACCCCAGTGGACTTTGTACTTATTTCACCCACATTGTTCACTGTAATACCTCGTGTCATGTCTCAGTGTAGATGTCATTCTGTTTTCTACTCATTTAGGAGCAAAGATGTTACCATTTGTATCATGTTGTACCCTGATCCGTGCGACTCACAGACAGACATACCTACTTTTCCTATACAAATAGATATAACTGTTGATAGTGTTGTATTCACTTTGTATCAGGAGATGCACATCAAGGGTAGTAGCTAGCTTGTCTATTTATAGTCCTATGAGTTTCTCTCTTATGCTATAGCCAGATCAATTAATATTGTAAGGAATCTTGATAGTGTCAAGATTCAGGCGCCTAAAAAATGAGTGTCTTCATTAGAACTTTTTGTCATTAAACATGTTAAAAATATTAAAAAATGACATAAAATATAAGAACATTTAGATATTATTTCACAATGCCTGTTGTGTGGGAGTTTAAACAAAACTACTATCCACACTATGACTTTCAAGAGAACACAAAATTTGGGTGTAAATAATTTCTGTTACTAAATCAAGAAAAGTTCATCCATTAAACAATAAGATATATAGTCAGTCTTGTATAAATATTATATACTGGGCCTATGGGGATGCAACTTGTCCTGAGGTGTTTACAGGTCTGGAGAGAGATACCATGTAGGGGGGGGACATCCCATATAAAGCCTGACATTCTCTTAACCTTGAGGGTGCTCATGGGTTTCACCAAAGTGGTAAACGTCTGAGACCTGCATCACTTCGGGCTTTCCTCCCACATTAAGCTGACACGCCGTGATATAACTGGAATACTGTTAAAAGTGGCGTTAAACCCAACTCACTCACTCACATAACCTTGGGGATACCTTTAACATTAAACAAACTGTTTTGAGGTAACTGACAAGTGCCAAGTTCCATCCTTGGCCTTGTACTGTCATGATACACAGGTATTTTAAAAAACACAGACATCAGGCATTGACACTATAAGTTGTATCCAGTTTGTCTGCGGAGCATTTCAAAGTAGTATTTTATGTAAAGTAACTATAATATTGGAGGTAACAACTAATAATTAAACCATCTAGATGTTCACTTGCCTCAGACTAACATACTCGCGTCCAAGTCTGTGAAAGTCAATCACGTCAGTTGGTCCTTTCTTAACTCTCATGTTGAATTTTGAGTGATTGAAGGGTCCCAAATACATTTGTAATTACATGTGATTGGTAGGGACAAAAGCTGTTAAACATAGAAATTCCTGATAATGTGTGATGACTCAAACAAACAAACAAACATGATTAAGATTATATTTATTTATAATGTCACAACCCCATGGTATTCTGGTTCAGCATAGGTCCCAGTGCTGCATGCTTGAAGTGGCAACTAAACATGCCAAACAAAGGGTTGTGTGCTTAGAATATGTCACCTGGGTTATCGTGTGTCGTAACCTAATAGTGTGAATGTATATTGTTGCTCATGCTGTCTACCACTGTTTACCTGAACCAGACCCAACTGTTGCTGGCAGCTGTAATGTTGCTGATTGCAGTGTGTCAAAAGTTAGATATGGCCCATCAGGTTGCCATGGTTACTGCAGAGACATAAAGAAGGTCACTGTTGCATATATTTCAATATTTGGAACAGAAACCGTTAGCTTATTCTTTTTCACAAGGAAAGTATTTAGGTCAAGTAATGAATGTTAATTTGTATCGACAACAAATTATCATTCATTACAAAAGTTTTATGAAGCAGTCAGCAACATTCCAACTATATCACATCCGCTAGTAAATAATCCTGTCGGAACTGATAAGCCAGTGATTGATATTTATGAGTAACACCCACATTGTCAGGGTACAATGACACACAATCAACCAAGTCACAGATCCTGACCACCTGATCTAATTAAGTCACCTACTACGACAAGCAATAGACCCGTCCTAACCCATGTACCTACAGAAGTATAATCTATGATTGGTATACAGTGTCACCCTCCTGTACTAGCCTTGTAATGTACAATCACAAAACAAATGGTAACATCATGCCTGACTTGATCGCTTCTATATCACTTTTCAAGGTGTATAATTATAACCCCCAATCTGAGAGTCCTCGTCACCATGGAAACCGGGTAAGATCGTTTGCGGCCTAGATCTAGTACCATCAGTAGCGTACGTTTCACCTAACATGATGTTTGGTTTCAGTTGCTTAGTCTTTCCTAGTTTCTATGTCTAATTCATTTTGTACACCTCCTATTACAAACATTCACAAATGCATCTGGAGCTAATTTACATTTTAAAGTTTGTACACTTCAAATGCTTAAGTTTAATGAGTAAAATTTTCACACATTATGATTCTCTTAGTTGATACATGAGAAATTTGATTTGGAATGCTATTAAAACTTGAAATGAATTTGGTATGTTTAAGTGTTCACTGATTGATGATGAGAACATGTTTTAAGCTAAACATACTTTCCTGAAATAATGAAACTTTGTCATGTGTGGAAATATAAATCATGTCTGTGAGAGGAATTCTGGTATTTGTGAATGTCTGTAGTACAACAGCTGCAGCCAGGCATTGATCAGACAGTCACTGATGGAAGTACTTTGTAACCATGGTAACATGATAAGGAACATTACAAAATGCTTCTCCTGCATGGTTTACTTTTTGCTTCACTCATCCAACAACTGTTTGATTGACCAGAACATTAACAATAACACAGACAAAGACAATCTGAGGGTGTTTCGCAAAATTATCATATTTACACTTTTTCTACAAGAAACTGTGAACCTCCAATCTCTAAAATGAAACACCTGTTTTAATCAAGTGTATCAGATGACCATAGAACCATTGGAACTTTCAATTAAAACACTTCATAATGAAGTATTTAAATTAGTAACTTAAAAACTGTAGAGGACTGAATATTGACATTAAATTAGATACAAAGAAGGGGACTTTATTTGTTTAAATGGGACTGTTGTTTCCATGGTTACTGCCATGTCATTCTTTTTAGAGGGATTGGAGGTTAACCTACTTGTTTCTGAGGGTATTTTATATATTATGCACAATAAGACCTGTGATTATGGGAATAGTAAGTCCTTGGTGAATGACTAGTTCACAGCGATTTCCAAATTCATGTATACATTTGGGGTTGATCATGAAACTATTAGCCAGCTTCCAAGGTTATCAGGCTAAATCAGGATGAAAAAGAGTTGTTTACTTAACTGCTGTCATTATGACAATAGGACTCAAATCAGTCATGCTGCAGTAGACTTGTTAGTGTTAGATTTTTGGAAATACTGATTTGGAATTAGTGTTTTGTACTGAGGATTATTTTTAGATAGATGATTATGTTGCATTTAAGTGCTGTATAATGCATATATAGTTTTGGTTTTGTGTCTTTAAAGTTTATGTTGCTTTTTATCACAATTGGTTCAATAGTTTATCGGTCACCTGAGTCAGTAATACGAGCAAATTAACCGGTATTTTGAGAGAATCTTTTTGAAGCAATGCTGACACAGGTAATCACTTTCTGTGGGAGAACCACACAAATTCAATGTAATTCTGTGGGTAGATTTTACTTGTTTCACAATCAGTGGGCATTTCATGTTTTCAGCTTCAGATAAAACAGCATGTTCATGCACTTGTAGGGACCTTTGAGATCATTGTCACAACACTCTGTAGTTCCATTAGTAGGATTTTCCAAACAGCCTAGAGATAATTGTACTTCTTTGCCAGTTTATGCACTTCACCCTGTCAGGGAAAATTGGTTTCATCTATCTCTCTTAAACATATTACACATATTTTAGAAGTGAATAAATTCTGACATGGATAGAACACCCCGTAATAAGTGGGCTGCAAAATATATTCACAAAACCCACTTCCTTTGCCAGAAGTATTGAGTCCTTGATATCAACTTGCGGGACATTGGACATTGAGATTCAATAGCCTGACTGTAAGATTGAGTGTGTTAGGGTTTCTCTACAGTTTTATGTTCAATTACCAAGTTAGAGGCCGTGGTTTAGTCTTCGGGTTAAGGAGGTGATTTGTCGCACCAAAGTCTTGGTTTTGATACCTCTCATGGCTACATGTCAATTTTTGGCATTCCACCTTTGGCTGGAATATTTCTGGTGTTGAGAAACCCATCTTCCCAAGGCAAGGGAGTCAACTGACTAAAAAAGTCTGGTTTCCACCTTGGCCCAACTAGGCTTGAATTGGCTTGACTAACAAGTGTATGCATAGTCCAATCAAAATCACAGAACGAAATCGACATCTGTTTCATAAAATGCTGTGCAGATTTCGGTCGATTGTAGGATTTGCAAAGCATGTGTGCCAACTCAGCATCAACAGATATTTTTCAGATCTTTTCTTGTTTTTAATCAAGGTGCTCACTTGATTTGATGCACTTTGTGAAGTAAGACCCGTATTAGTACAATAATGACCACCATTTTGTTTGAAGCAAATGCAAGTGATATGAGAGGTGGAATCTGATTGGTCAATATGACGGACATAGAAGGAATGTGACTCATATGGTCACTGGTGGCGCTACGATCGAGCCCAGAAATTCCAGCCTAGTTTGTCAAGGGTGGAAACTGGACTTTTTTCAGTCTGTTAACTCCCTTGCCTCGGGAAGATGTGCAAACCCCAACTCATTCACTCACTTTGACACCTACTCTGGAGGATGTGTGAGCATGTGTCATGGTGCATGACTGTTACAATATTCAATAGTTGAAATGGATTTGATCACAGAAATATATAGTCATGAGAGCTTTGACTCTTTGTGGAAGAGAAGCTGACTGGTGTTGGATGTTGTATTCAAATGCGCTTTCAGACCTGCTGCCTGGTATTGAATGGACTGTATATCATATATGCCTTTGTAGGTAACTTGACCATTGAGTGACCACCAAATGAACTTTTAAAGTCTTAGCTCTGTGTGATTTTTGACATTTTCTTACTTCCAATACTGCTAACTTGCCATTCTTGCTGATATCTTGTATATATGCACATTTCAGCATGCATGAAAGACTTACTATACAAATAATGTACTGGTCATTTGAAGGTGTTCATGAAAATATTAGATTGAAATACAGAAACCTACATTGATTATCTAATGACATGTATTGTAACTGTTCTATTGCAATAATCACATGATAATGTTTTTCGCCAATGCTTCCAATTGCTTCAACAGTTTCTTTTTGACAGCTAGTAAACATGGTAAATCACAAGAAGATGTTGTTGGTTCATGATCTGCAATTTTGACCTTATCCACTTATCTAAGAGAGTGATACACAAGCTATTTGAAACTATTGTTGTACCCAAGGGTTTCAATACCTTCAATTTTTAAGAGTTTCATGAAGCAAGACCCCAACTATAGTCTCTTGACAATTTCCAAAAAGATATCATTTTGTATCTTTACCACTTTTCATATCTTTGATTTGTAATTTCAATTTACAAAAGAAAACCCATTCAGAATGTAAATATTCCCTCAATGTTAACCCTTTTGGGCAAGCATTGAATAGCCACTACATATATGCTGCAGCCTTTATTGTTTATTGTCTGTGCATATATGAGGTGCTGAAATCAGACATGAAGTTCGGAATGCTTATTTTGCTCATATCAAGAAGTATGACACCTTGACGCAAACTGGTTGATTAGAAAATTTACCTGACATGAACAATGGTAGGTTTGTCAGATTTTCATGTCGGAATAAAAGATGTGATTTTAATAAGATGCAGCATGAATATGAGTGATTCAGAAGTCTGCACAAAAGACAGACTGCTTTGATAACCTTTCCACAAGCTGCTTTTTTACTATTCTTTTGTTTTAATAACACAATTTGTTACCAAACAAGCATATCTGTAAGTATGTTTGACAATAACAAAGACACACTTCAAATGTCACACTTTCTTTTGTTTTGCTCAAGAATTATTCTGGACTTAAATGCTACAGCTTATGCTTGGTTCCTTCACTGTTATTAATGATGCAGGAAAATGTGAAAGAAATCCTTTATCAGTACTTAGTAAATAACAGAAGATTTAACTCATGCATGTGCACGGTAGTGGAGTAGGATGAGAATAGGCATTTATATAGGCTTGATGTGAGACTGCTCGTGTCATAGTTACCAATGTTGAATCTTGAACAGTCAATTTTTCATCATAGGCCAACTGTTGTCTTCTTTATACATTTATTGATAAAAATTGTTATTCTTATCATATTGTACCAAATTAACCAGATACATTGTTTGGGAATGTATTTTCATGTTTTCATAAATGTATTACCTTCTAGTGTACATACTTCTGAAATAGGCATTATGTGATGAGTATTATGTTCTGCAGTGTATATTGGCCAGTAGTTCAGCCTCCACGTGTTGTGTGTGCTGTGTGTAGCTCAGCTGTTGGAGGAAGAGCTCGCTGTTGTTAAGATGAACTGATAAGCTTGCTGTTGATACCAGTCATACTGTTTCCAAATTATACATTGTGTTCCATAATATGTACATATTTATAACCTTTTCAGCATTTTCTGTACGATTGAAGAAAAGTTATATATGTTTCAGAAAGTAGAAAGTTTGAACTTTTTTTTTACAGAGTTGTGAAATTAATTTTTTTTCTTACCATGAGGCAGAAATAAAGTAAAGTTTTGTAGGTGTTTTACAGATGTTAGCAGTGCCTGGAAACAAACATTGGTATTCCAGATCTAATATAGTTTCCTTGATGTATCTTATTGGCAACTGTGTATTGTGATACAGGACTGTACCCACTAAGTGTCAACACTCCTAGCTGTAGAAAGTAGATCAGGGGACTGAAGTTTCAAACCTGTCGTCCATTGTAGATATACGATGCTGGGGATTTCACCTTGTTGTGTTCTGAGTCGAACCGCGTCGGTGAACGGTGGGCAGGTGGCGACTTCATCAGCGTGGACCGCGTCATTGTATGGAGCAATGATGGCAAGGGGTATCTCTACAAGCTTCCCACAAAGTGAGTATGGAGAGAACACTCTATTTTATCATATTTCTAGTTGTCAAGATGGTGGATGTGAGTTTGTCTCAAGACTCTGTGGTGTTCTGTATTTGGGTCTTGTTTTATATCACTATCATCCATGCTGTTAGGTAATTGACAGACATGATAAGGTTTTGTTCTTCATGATGACAGCAACAAATTAGATCATTTTGTACGAAATAAGTACCTTATTTAGTTAGTTATTTGCTGTATAAGCACTCCTGGGAAGACAGAAAATTTACAACATGTACAATGCACACGATAGCTGTTATCAAAACGTCTTTAGTTTCATCGACATTTGAACTAGGTTTGTTTACTGTCCACTCAATCTCTGAAAACATACTTATCATGCTGTGTATGGTTTTATTGAGCACCCTTTTTGTCAATATCTTTAAGCACTGAGGTGCTTATGGTGTATACAGTATGGTAAACATGGTTTAATAAGGAACTTCTGAAAAAGAAATGAAAAGTTTTGTATGTTTGTAATTAACATCAGTGACATGATGAAAGGAATTTGTTTAGCATGAAAAGGATTATCATCAAGATTATTATACCAGTATATGAACTATATATGCTGATTACGTGGGAAACAAGTGGAGATTATAGAAAATGTCACTGGTCCGGAAACAATCTTTTTCTTGAAAAGAAATGAAAGCATGTAGTTGTCATCGCTTTCTGTAGCCTGGTGTAGAATGTCTTTTGTGTCGCTTTCAATCTATTTAGTTTGGTTTGTTTAAAGCATGTATGGAATATCTCATGCTTATATTCTTTTATTTAATTATTTGGATAAATTGGTTATAGGTATAATGTGCTCAGGGGATGGATAAAGAATCTTGTAATATTTTAATGATATTATTTGTTCATGTTTAAACAGTGATACAGTAAAACATGGTTTTGACAAGCTCCATGCAGCTGTGGACATTTGTTTGTTATACCTGGTATACCTGTTGTATGTTACCTTATACCTGGTATACCTGTTGTATGTTACCTATGTAAATGCAAAACCTAAGTATCACTTTCTATGTATTTTTGAAAGAAGTGTAAATAACCATTCTAGTACAACATGTGCTAGAGGTGGTGGACATATATGATACACAATTTCATATCAATTTATTGGTATTTTCATAAATAGCAGACTTCGACTTTAGCCACTAATCTGAAGCCCGGGACTACTGAAAATCTATTTGGTCTAGTAAGCTCAGCTAAAATAGTCCTCATGACAACAGTAACATGTACTGAAAATGATGCTTAGAGTCATGTTTGGGATTGTAGTCTCGAAGGTTTTTGGCAGAGACTGAAATTGTTACAGAAGAACTTTGGCATTTAAAGAAACACATGTTACAGTGATAGAATTAAATAGAAAGAGTTTGAGCAGTTTTTTGACATATCACAAAAATTGTCTCCTGGACGTCTCAGCGACTTCTGTTTTGAAACATGACAGTTGACTTGCTATGCAAGATTGTAAGTCATTGCTTGTTATGTTATAAACATATTCAGGTGAGATGAAAGATGATAATTTGGAAATAGTGATCAGGATTGAACCTGTGACTGATCTTAGTCACAGATATCATACTGAACAAAAACAGTTATGGATCATGAATATTTTTCTGGATATTTTTATGAAATTGTGCAGGCTTTACGACAAAAATTATCTCCAAAAATATTTATGATCCCTAACTTTTGTTGTTTTGTATATATTAGTACCACAGCAATGGTATGTGAGGATTGCAACAATAAGCTGTGACATGTTGATGCACCACTGATTGGTGTGACGACTGATTCTCTCATCACCTGTACTGCAGAGATAACCGTATATCGCTGTGTATAAGGCGAGTTTTTCGTACCTAAAATGAGGGGGTTAAGAAGGGGGGTCATCTTATACACGGAGTCGAAGATCTCACATTTTTTTCCACTGGCGATGTCAACTGGCGTCCGATAGCCAGCCCAGCATTTGACAATAAAACTTCGCATTTCGTCCTAAATAACTGTTCCACTAACTATTTCCATACATAAACATGATTTGTATCTCTTTTCCTTGAATAAAGTTTAATAATTTCTGCAAATAAAGTTGAAATTGCCCCCGCCTCGATGCAGATTGTCAAACCAGCTGACACTGTAAAACAATGAACATCCGTGAGTAGAGAGCCGGAAGTATTGGTAAGCATTTGCATATGGCACACGTGACCTAACATGTGATAACCGGTGAAGCTGAAATCAATTCCCGCTGTTTTTACAGTTGTATTAACAACTGTTGGAGACAGTGTGAATAAGTGATTGTGGAATAAACACGCTGAATGTGAAGCAAATATAAGCCTAGTTATAACATAGTTAATTGGCGATTAAATTACTCACCATTGTCTCTTATATGTTATTACTTCATCATGTTCATAAATGAATAGTGTCGTACCGTGTAAACACAAAATGGCAACATGTGCTGGAGTTACACCCGTGACCAATCATCGTAGAAAAAACAACGCAAGATAAACATATTTTTATTGCATATATAAGGTTTGTGTGCGCACTTGTGATGTGCTTCATTCCAGGTCGCCTTATACACGGAGTATAGGATTTGGGGTTGATTTTGAAGGCGTGTACACAGCGATATACGGTATGGGATAGTGTCATATACTTTGTTTGATTCACCGCTGATGTTGAAAACCATAAGAATGTTTTATCCATATTCATCATAACCATGTTCTACTGTACCTGCAGTGCATGTCTCATCCTTCATTAGGAAGTAGTCTGTCAGGTCATTGCCTGTGGATGATACTTTTTTGACACAGCAGAAGTAGTCTTCACTGACCAATTTGTCTTGATGCAAATGCAGTTAATACTAACAAGTTGAATCCCGCCGAGTCACAGCACACTGTCACAGCCCTAGATGCACTGGTAGCAATACCTCACCAAATTACATCTCATCAATGTATGTCTTGCCTCCAAGGCAAGCTTGCATGCAGCAATTGTAGTGCTACGCCTGTCGTAACTCCGTAAGCTACCCTCTGGACAAGACCTTGCTTGTTGTAAGAACCAAGACATGATGATCGGGTGGTTACAATGTGTGACCTGGCTGATTGTATGTTGTCATGCTCCAATTGCATGGATTGTCACTCACGATATTTTGTTTGTGTGTTGTTTAACACTGCACTCAGCAAATTCAGCTATGTGACGGCAGTCCTTATGTAATGGAGTCTGGACATGACATCCAGTGATTGTCATCTTGAGCATCGATCTACACAATTGGGATACAATGTCAAACATCAACCAAGTCAGCAAGCCTGAACACCCAAGCCTGTTAGTCTCCTCTTACGACAAGCATAGTTGCCGCTCATGATGTCAACCACTAGGTTGCCAAACCAGATTCAGTCAATTACTGTCCGTTGAGATATATCTCGATGTAGTTAAAATCAGATATTTTACTCTGATACAATACCTCTCTGCGTGAAAATTTGTGGACACCTCTCATCAGCCAATAGCCAACAGGCGATAGCTCTACAATTGCTCTGTGCAAGTCAGCTCATGTGAGAACATCCCATGTGTAAAATGTCTAAGCAGTGGATTGTTTGTGATGTGTCATTAACAGCAATGCTCATTCTCATCCTGGGAAAAGTGTGAAGTTCTAGCTTTCCATGTGATAGATACTAAATTCTACTAATTTTCTTTGTGAACACTAGTCTTCTGAAAGGAAAGGCAATTACAAGGTAAGGAATGTAAAACGTCTTGGGACTTAATTTTTCTACAATTGTGTTGTCATACATTTTTTGAAAACTAACCTTCTCTTTAGTATGTGTAAGCTGTAATGTGTATGCTGAAGTTCAGTTTGTTTTTTCAAATCTTCTTGTTATTTGTCATGATCTTTTGAGTTTTAAGCAACCTATTTGAAATCTGTCGCTGTTGTGATCTACAGTAAAAGTCCCATTAACAGACTATTTCATGATTGAAGCTTGGTTGGACAAAGAGTTTTAAAAATACCCGCTTTAGTTATGACATTAGTGACAGAAAGGTTCATTTTTAAGTTTTTTTAAATTGAATACATATTTGTTTTATAAGCTTTAGCGCTGACATTGCACACTCAAAAGTGTACAAATCTAAGTGCATGTGGACCTAGTTTGCTATGAACTTGATTTTGTACCCAGATGATGTGTAAGAAATCTGTTGTCAAACGTCTACCTGTCATATTGAATTTGTGTCCTGGTATTAATAGACATACTGACTGTGAAGACAACCACAGTTCTCAGTGGGGAATTCCTTGTCTTTCTTCATTGTATGCAGCTGCAGTGTTCTCAATACTTTCAATCAGCATGCTCTGTCAGGTGTGTGGCTTTAGTATTGATACTGGGAAATAGCTGGTCATCACATAGAAAAATGATCTGTTGATTTGACTATTTTGATCAGAATTCAGATAACCATGTCCGTTTATAAAAGTTTGTTCTATTCCTGTCAATGGATAGATGTTGTTTGTAAAACTCATCAGTCGAACTCTCCCTGAGCCATGACTGCCATTGTTTTAACATCATCACCAATTCAAACACGTTTGAAGTAGGGTTATACCTTACTAACAGTGACTTTCTTGTAACTCAAGGTCAAGGAGACAGTCTGTAAGTTCTGAGTAAGTACCAGAGTACCGAGTAAGTTAGGAGGAACTAGCTATTGCTCTCTGTTTAGAACTGAGCTGCTGGAAAGGCTCTGTCATTCTTTCTTTCAGTGATGAGCTAACTGAAGCTACACTCTGTCACTTGACAATATGTTTATTCATAGAAATATCACAGTATGTTATCCTTAATCATGTTAAGTAAATCTTTACTTACATTTAAAGTAAATTAGTGTCACGATCTTTCGAAGAAGCTTCAGTTAGCTCAGTTGATCTATTCTTGCAATATCCCTTATCATTTCCATCTATTCTGAATCATTATCCCCAAAGCACTGCTTTCCTCCTTAACATGCTAATGAGCATAACGCCAAAATGACAATAATTGTTTGTTCTTTCTGACAACCCCACCTCATCATGCTCATGGGGATATCAGATTGGAATTGATCCCCAGCAACCTATGCTGGTCGTAAAAGGCTACCAAATGGATCGGGTGGTGAGGTCAAGTGACTTGATTGCATGCCATCATACCCAGATGGCATGTATCGTTTCTCATAATATCAATCACTGGATTGTCTGGTCCAGCCTCGATTATTTACAGGCTGCCGTCAAAAAGCTGGAATATTGCTTCGTGTGGCGTTAAACAACAAACTGACATCCTATCTTAACATCTCATCTCAAATGCTTTCATAAGGCAATGTGCAATGAACAGTCTGTAATGATCATGATGATTATATGGAAAATTCATAGCTCCTCATATCTGAAATTGTTTATGAGTATGGGCAAAGTATTTTGAAAAATGTAATTTCCCTTCCCCGGGGCTGCCACCTACACCCTCCTTCATGTCACTATACACCTGCCACACCCACAATACCTGCACCCCCAGCAACCTCACATCATGCCATTTATTTGTTCAGGAACATGTTGAATGTTGATGCATGACTGGACTAACCCTGCTGGTCCAAGTTGGTTTCATTTCATTCCCTGGAGTTTGTTTCCATATTTTTCAATAATTGTATTTTCATCTATCTGTATTGAATTGTTTTAAGACTTTAAGAGTTTAACGTCATCCATCATATGTTGAAATGAATGTTATTTCATTCTGTTACATTTCGATGTATTCTTTTATCATTTTGATAAGGAACAACAGCTGCTGGTTGACATAATCTCATTCTGGAAATGGTACCAGGTTTGATACATGTATTTCCAGATCGTAAAAGTGAAACAATAAGTCAGTATTGCATCAGACAGACTCTATGATGAACTCTGGAAACATTCCAAGAATAAGTTGAAGACCTTTAGCATCCTTCTGGGGCTTCTGAGACAATATAAGTTCCAGATGCTGCAAGATAGGCAGCCATGTTTGTATGTATGCAACATCATGTGTTTTGGAAAAGCACCCAGAGTTGCTCCGTGTTGTGAAAAGGCTAAACTAACAATTCTTTAAAGCTCATGATCGGATAGTGCGTTGTCTTATTATTTTAGGAGTAGAAGCAAACATTTCTTTGCAGTACTAATTATGATAAGAATGAAGATTCCATGCTTAATCGACTTCAACACCTATATCATGTATAAATGTAACCCCGCCAAACATTTATGATTCATGTGAATCACATCCAGTGGTAGTCAATATACACAGGTGCCTTGAACAGATTGATAAAGAATATACAGATATTAAAAAATAAAATGCTCTGTTTCATTATCTCATATTCGTAAACCTAATGAAGATGTAATAATTAATTTGTTGTGGCCTAACATAGATTGACTAGCAGGAGCCACAAGGCTCCGAGGTAAGGGAGTTTAGTTTGTGACCTGACGGTACAGCTTTTAGGAGCACCCTCTTGGAGCAGTACAAGGGCGGGAACTACATGCTGCTTGGCTGGATGCTAGTATTTTCTGCTTGATCTTTCTGCTAACTTGCATTGTAGGCAGTTAAAAAGTTGTTTCCTAGCCCTTTTTGGCTGCTGTAAACATTACATTTAAATATCATATGAGTATTATTAAATATTGAGAATATTTTTGTTTATCATTGAAGTATCATATGAGCACTGCACTTCATCTTGCATGTTATTACTGAATAATTGTTGAAACTTTCATAGATACTTGAAAATATTCTTTCAGTGCAACTTTAATGCCATTGTACGTATTGAGTTTTCTTGTGTCTTATTTCAGTGCAAGTCCCGACAGCCCTGACTACCATCGACAACACCAACCAACATCTCCACATGCTTACTATATACTTGATCTTTATGCAGAGCAGGTAGGACACCTTTGTATGCAATGTGTTTGTTTTGTTAATGCACCTTTTATGCCAAGTATGACAATTTTTTAAATTATCCTGCATTACTCCTTAATGCATTAACTGCTTTTTTTTTTACAGAAAAATGAAGCTGTGTGAGGCCCAGCTGAAAAAGAAGTTGTTCCAACTAGTTGTGTGGCTAATACCATCATACAGGACCCATGTGACAGTGGAAGTGATGACGTCACATACCTTCACATTACTGCTTGTCACCCAGACTGACTAGTTGTGTTTGAAAAAGCTCCAGCAATCTACTGGCATCCATTGCTTGTTACTCAATTCAACATTTCCGTTGTGTCTGGACTGTACTGACCCCTGTTCAGTAACTGCTAAGTGTTGCCTCTGGTGGTCTCCCCTACATTTATTCTGTTGCCAATCACTAGACAGACGCTGATGACTACACAGGGGCCTGCACCAACTTACACTTCCATGACCACCCAGGTGCTGGTGCCTCCGACCTCCCAGATGAAAACACTTACCCAAGTGTATCGCCTACCGTCAGCTCCGACAAGAGCTCATTTGAGCATCTACACGACATCTCCACCACATGACTGGCTCCTCTAAGCCTACGACTGTTCGAATACCAGACACACGTCTACCCTTTTTAGAAAAGGAGATTCGGCACTCTCTAAATTTCTTGTTAGCTCTTGCTTCTTCATCTTGAGCTTTTGATTGGAGACTAATCCCAATCGTGTTGAACATCTGCGAATAGTCATGACCTACCAACAACGCAAGATAGACCATATGTGCAATCATCTTAAGGCTGCACATATGGTCTATCTTGCGCCAACCCAGGTCTGTTTTTTCTCTTTTTAATAGAGACATATACGAGTCCCACTCTCACCTCTCGAGTATCGCCCTCAAGGCTTTGGAGCACGTGTCCCAGGAAACATCTCACAAGTTTTCCAACGCCGGGAATTATCAGCCATGTCGGAATTCTCTCAAGGACCAGGCCCAGGACACCCTGTCTTTTTGTGGCAGGGATCAAGGTAGAGGAAAACAGCAGGGCAATTACCAACCTTGCCAGGATAAGTATCAGGGCCAAGGTGGTGATCACAGGGGTTACCACTGAAGTGTTTGACATCGACGACTGGGAACTCCCAGCCTTACCAAGAATGCCAACCGTATTTCCGCATGACAACATTGAGACTGCTCAAGACCAGAATCAACACGAACGATTCCTGATCAGCCTCAACGTGCAGAATGCTTACCTGAACGTGCCTATCCACCTGACAGGCAGTTCTTCAGGGTTCCTCTTCAATGGTATCAACTACCAATGGATGGACTCCCATTTGGCATTTCCACAGCCCTGTGGTTAGTCACCTAAGAGACATCCAGTTTGAGTCATATATCAACGATTGCCTACTGAACCACCATGACTCGGTGACTCTCATCCTGTACAGGGATTTCACCAGATGCCTTCTCCATCAGCTGGGGTTGATTTTCAACGAACTGAAGTCGGAGTTCACTCTATCCTTCACACTTTGAGCCTCTTCATTCAGCTTCCTTGTTTTTTGCTCACCAAGAAGACTTGGCTCTGGCTACACTGGCGAAGGTAATCAAGTTGCATGTACTCAGCATCACCCATGTCCGGTTTGAGCGCAGTGTGCAAGGAACCTTTCACCTTAGGTTGTGCTGGGACTTCATGGCCAAGAATCAACTCCCAGGACAGCCTGACAGGTCCTTCACCATCCCACCTCTCTCTTCGATTGTGGGTGCTGAAGACAAGGAGGAACTCCACATGTGCCAGGTTCGTGCTCAAGACTCAACTATTCATCCCTGTTTCCACGACTTCCCAGTCAGACGTTTGCCAGAACACTATATATTTGTGGCTACGAGCAATCATCCTGCAGGCTTATGAGGCCACTGGCATGGATCCTCTCAGGGCCAACAACCCTCATGAGATTCACGCGGTTGCATCCACCCTGGCTCTCCACATCAACTGCTCTGTCAGATCCATCATGGATGGTTGCTTCTGGAGATCCGACACAGTCTTTGCCAGCTACTACTTGAGGACTCGGCCTTGTAGTTTTGGTCCTCTGGTCATTTGCCAAGCAGGTCACAACCCCAAACGACATTAATTTTTACAGCAGTCCTGAGCTGGCTTTTCAAACTCTCTGGTGCATTAGCTTGGTAGGCTTTTTTCTATTACTGTTCTCTGACCTGGGCGTCCTACATTCCTCACATGCTCATGCTGGAATGGTCACATGGTTTCCGATCATCACAAAAGGATGCTGTGATGGTTGCCTGGACTTTTTGACGAGGGTCTCCTGAGGATCACATCTGAAGGTATGCCCACCTCCGTACCTGATCCGTCTGATTCAGATGCATTAAGGACTAATGCAGGATATGTTAAAATATTTTAGTAAAATCTAAATATTTTTTACATTTGCATACTTATCCTGCATAACTATGTCGAAAGTGGCCCACCCATCGCAGACATGCCTCCCCATGATCATCATGATGTCAGTTGTTGAGATCAAGCAGTAATGTGAAGATATGTGACGTCATCACTTCAGTGGTCACGTGGGCGCTGTTTTAACCACACAACTAGTTGGGACAACTTCTCCTTCAGCTGGACCTCTCATCAGCATTACTCTCTGTCCTCAAATCGAACATCTCACCAGCATTAACATAGCAGTCTCTGTCTTCAAATCAAACATCTCACCAGCATTAACATAGCAGTCTCTGTCTTCAAATCAAACATCTCACCAGCAATACCATTGTGGTTCCTGTCTTCAAATAAAAAAACATCTCACCAGCAATACCATTATTGTCCCTGTCTTTAAATCAAACATCTCACCAGCAATACCATTGTGGTTCCTGTATTCACATCAAACATCTAACCATCATTACCATTGTGGTCCCTGTCCTCAAATCAAACATCTCACTAGCAATACCATTGTGGTCCCTGTATTCACATCAAACATGTCACCAGCATTACCATAACAGTTCCTGTCCTCAAATCAAACATCCTTCCATAAACACAATTTCATGAATACACTTGCCTTAAAGCTCAACCCCTTTTCACTGCCTTCATTACCATTGTTGGGCTGGTTAGATAGATTTTTAATTTATTTGAAAAATAACATAGCTTATCATTGTCCATGTTTGTCCAATCAGTTTCAAAAGCATATGAGACATTGCTGTGTGAATCTCGATTCTTTTCCCTCCAGTCCCTGGTGTGTTCGCCAGCCATGATGTTTTTCCGGAGCGAGGGCGAGACTGCCCCGAGGAGGCTGTTACTGCGAGGAGACTCCGAGGGGAGGGTGGTCATCTGGAAGCTGCCTGAGGTGTCTGAGAGACAGATGACACTTGTACGACAAGAGAGCTTTGACAGATTGCCAGGTACATATGTTGTATTTAACCGGATACTTATTAAATATATCAGAAAAACAAATGAGGGATCACATGAGTAATGGTAGGAAACAGTCAATATGCTGGTCACAGTCAATGATACCTGCTTCGAATGCTTCCAGGTTGTATGTACTCATATGCAAAATAGTCGAGGAACATGTGTGATCCATCTTGGCGTTATTGTATTGCAGTGTGTTGACAACTTTTATTATCATACCTCCATGTCTGAATGATGAGATCTGATTGGTTCACATGATCTTGATAACATACGATGTATCCCGCCTGGGAGGGAAATAAATTTCTGAGCGGGAGAATAAATCCCTTATGCAGCAACACAGGCTGCACTTGGATTACTGAGTGGGAGAATGAATCCATATACCATGCTAAGAAGCAAAAAGCCACACGCTGTTTCAGAGTCAATGAAAGTCTGTGACATCGCATAAAATTCACCTCAGCTCAATCGAACAACTGGGTTGTATTAATTTTGAGTTTGTGGTATACTGGTACCTGGAATAGTGCTGACTATGTTGAAAATAACATTCACTGACATTAACTCAACATTGATTTTCAATAGTCGTAGCTCTACGTTTGCTCTTTGAGATAAATGTCGTTTGATATGATTCAGCTGTGTGAGACCAACATTTAAAGAAGGTAATTGCATCAGTCTAAGCCCGATACTTGTGAGTCTTCTTGTCTGAACTTGTGTATTAGCATTATTTTCAGTAGATTTTAGTCTTATTATATGGGCCCCATATGGAGTTCCTGGTTAGAAAAGGTCCCCAGCAACCTATACTGGTGGTAGAGGTAACAATGGATCAATTGGTAGGCACAGTGACTCACAGAAAAACAATCTTGACATATGGACAAATAATAATCATAGTTCACTGGCCAACATATTATTCGACTATAGTCAAGCTTCGGACAAGTGGGTAAACTGTCAGATTGTTGTATGTGTGCCCTCCTACCTTGCAGCCCTCCCTCCCCGCTGTAAGACCACACTGCAGGAGGTGTGGGACAGCCTGTACAGGCCCCCTGCTGGAGTGCTGGACGGACTGGTAGGTATACGGTGCCCAGGAAACAACACTGTAGACGTCTTTCTGTGCATTTGTTTACTTGCAACATTTGTTGTCCAGGTGAACAATCATGGCAATGATAGCGAAGTCATTTTAGTTATATGGTCATAAATAACAGGAATTAAGCTGAAAACTTTTCTGAATGTTTACCACATGGTATGTGAATAATTGTAGCCTTATAGTGCTTCAGCTAAATTAGAGGGGCGATCGGGTAGCCTAGTGGTTAAAGCGTTCGCTTGTCACACCGAAGACCTGGGTTCGATTCCCGACATGAATACAATGTCACTACTTCTTCCTGAATTTTACTTTAGAGGACTTTAGAATACATTAGGAGCGACCCTACCCTATCGACCTGTGTATATCTGGATAGCATTGCTTGATTTGTTTCATTCAGTTGATGAAGGAAGTAAAATGAAGTAGCCTTAATAATAATAATAATAATAATTACAAGTGAATGTTCAGGGTGATACATTATATTTATTTTAGAATACTAAACGTGCTCAAGTTATGTAATACACAATTTCAGAGTTCATGACATCAGACATTAGGATTATGCCTTTTAATATTAGTTGAGAATTCCACTGAATACATTGAAATTCTTACTTGCTTGAGTGTCAGAGCTTCTCTTCATTTGTTCACTGAGTGAGACTAAGTTGGAATGAAATCTAAAGGAATAAAGACTAAAATGTTTAGTGGTTTATTGTGACTGTTATATTAATGTTGCGTGGTCAGTGTGATGAGAACAGGCAGTCCCTCCACATCTCGTCCACCATCTACATCCCGTCACAAGGCAAGCTGGTGTGCGGCCGCATCAACGGCACCATCGTCATCGTCCCTGCAACACAGAGCGTCATGCTTCAGCTTCTCACCACCAAGACACTCAAGGCTGACAGTAGGTCCTTTCAGTAGTGTTTAACCCTGGTTAATAGGCAGTTTGTGGGTGCTGCCAGTTGGGCAGGACAAGTTCCTCTGGGGGATTCATTAGTGTAAGACTTTCAGTTCCTCTCTTGTGACAGAGATATGAATACTCATGCCATGACACTCAAGTTAATTGTAATCATGCAGTCAGAAACAAGTCATGCATGAACATGATGAAAGTATGCACCAAAAAATAATCAAACATGCATTTGGAATTTTCCAGGAAATGACAGATTTTTGTTTAGAAATGCATCATCTGCGCATGACCGACATCGTTTTAGCTTTACGTTTGCTGTGAGGGGAAATCAGACATCTGTCAAAATGCCTTCAAAATGGAAAATAAGTAATTTCTATTGAAGAAATATTGTGAGGCGGAATGCATGTGCAGGAAAGATTGAAGATAATGATAATGTTGACATGATGCTACTCGATACCAGAGCTGGTGAATGTTAATTGAAACTGTTAGCGAGCTGATAGGTAGTGAATGTAACATATTGAAACAGATGAACACACTTAATGAACAAAAAGTCATATAACCTATTTCTTTTTTCATTGAAAAGTACTCTTAAGGTTGGCACACTTAAATATCCCAAAGGGCATGTCTAAACTTCCTTTGCGTGCCCTGTGGCACCCTGGAAAAAAGACTAGATCTCTATAAGTTGTATGACGATACGGCGATACAGGTTTGTGTACCGATACGAGTCCCACTTTACAATGCATTGATTTACAACCCCTATATTGGGATACATATGATACATTACATTACAAGTCATATTGGTATAAAAAGATGTGTTCAATAACAAATTTAAAATGTATTTGAACCTGTTCAACAACCAACTTATACCATGTTACACAGATTCTCTGGAATTTCATGGTTGGCTATAAGTAGCATTACATTCACAGTGCCCTCTATTCTATATGTTCCTGATCTACAATATCCCATCTTGGTCTCTGAAATTCAAAAACAAATGATTCAGGGTTCTGATTCACTTGCTAGAAGAAAGAATATCAACTTATGAAATAAAAGTACTACTGTATATCGCTGTGTATAAGGAGAGTTTTTCGTACCTAAAATGAGGGGGTTAAGAAGGGGGGTCGTCTTATACAAGGAGTCTAAGATCTCACATTTTTTTCCACTGACGATGTCAACTGGCGTCAGATAGCCAGCCCAGCATTTGACAATAAAACTTCGCATTTCGTCCTAAATAACTGTTCCAGTAACTATTTCCATACATATACATGATTTGTGTCTCTTTTCCTTGAATAAAGTTAAATAATTTCTGCAAATAAAGTTGAAATTGCCCCCGCCTCGATGCAGATTGTCAAACCAGCTGACACTGTAAAACAATCAACATCCGTGAGTAGAGAGCCAGAAGTACCGGTAAGCATTTGCATATGGCACACGTGACCTAACATGTGATAACCGGTGAAGCTGAAATCAATTCCCGCTGTTTTTACAGTTGTATTAACAACTGTTGGAGACGGTGTGTATAAGTGATTGTGGAATAAACACGCTGAATGTGAAGCAAACATAAGCCTAGTTAGTTACAACATAGTTAATTGGCGATTAAATTACTCACCATTGTCTCTTATATGTTATTACTTCATAAATGAATTTTATTTTACGGGCACCAATTTAGTGTCGTACCGTGTAAACACAAAATGGCAACATGTGCTGGAGTTACACACGCGACCAATCATCATAGAAAAAACAATGCAAGATAAACATATTTTTATTGCATATATAAGGTTTGTGTGCGCACTTGTGATGTGCTTCACTCAAGGTCGCCTTATACACGGAGTGTAGGATTTTGGGTTGATTTTAAAGGCGTGTACAGGGGGGTCGTCTTATACCTGGGGTCGCCTTATACACAGCAATATACGGTATATTGGGAAACAAATCGTATCAAACCTGTAATATCGGGATACGTATCGTATCACATCCTCACCATATCGTTACACCTCTAATTTCTATCATGTCTTACCGGTATTTATTATTCACTCACCATGCTGATGACCTGGGTGTTATACTTCACAAGATCACTATATGTGAAGCATGTTCTTCCCCTTGCTGTAATGTGGCTTCAGAATGATGCTCAGTGGTTATGATAAGCATGTCCTCCCTGTCAGATATTCCCACCAAGATCCTGCAGGGACATGACGGGAGGGTGACATGTCTGCTGTACCCCTTCAACGAGAGCACGCGGTACGAGCCCCAACATCTGCTGTCTGGGGGAGCCGACTTCTCGGTGATCCTGTGGGACATGAACTCCGGCTACAAGATCCACACCTTCACTGTACATGGCGGGGAGCTCACACAGATGTTGGTGCCGCCCGGGAACTGCAATGTAAGCAGACAATCTGGCTTGCCTGGTCCCTTGACCTCCATATATTGTTATTAGGTGTCATTTGTGAAATACAAATGTCGTAGATCTAGTGTGTACCAATGCTCTTTTCTGTCATCTTTAAAGCTAGGGAATGTACAGTTAAGAAAATAAGTGCCTTTCGTAAAGTAGCAATGGAACTTACGTGCAATTTTTTCATTTGTTATCAGCAAAAAGTATTGCTCCCTGGGTTTCACACGATTTCTACATTGGTGACAGAGGTGCATTTGGTGCATTATTTATACACGGCAGGGCCTAGATGGGATCACTAAGATATGATTATTTGTAGGAATGTAATGATTCCTCATGCTATCAATGGGCCACCCGCCCTAGTTAAGGAAGCCTAGTAGTTAAAGCCTAGTGTCACGCCAAAGACCCCGAATTTGTTTGCCACATGGTTAAAAAGTGTAAAGCTCTTTTCTGGTGTTCCCTGTCATGAAATTGCTGGAATATTGCTAAAAGCTGTGTAAAACTCACTCACAATGCATTGTGCTGGTATTGCTGTGAAGGAATGAATTTTGCATGTTAAATACTTTCAGACTCGGATCCTGTCTGCTGTTTGCTCGGTTGCCAGTGACCACTCTGTAGCTCTCCTCAGCATGAAGGAGAGGAAGTGTATCATGTTAGCAGGGCGCCATCTGTTTCCAGTCCAGACAATCAGATGGCGTCCCCTGGATGACTTCATGGTTGTCAGCTGCTCTGATGGCACAGTCTATGTATGGCAGATGGAGACAGGTCAGTGGGACACACACAATGTATTGTCTGGTGTACAGTTTTATTGAAGCTGGACGAAAGTAGTTGATCATAATGTGTATCATGTGGAGACACTACATTGGCAGTTACTTTAGCTGGTGTCACTTTATATGAGGTGTGTCAGGAAATGAATACTGTAGTATATTCCTGCATGAATTACTGAATGAGTTCTCAAAAAGTTTGCCGCAGCGCTGTTCAGTTACTCTCTGATGGTATCACTCTCACTGTTTCTGGTGAGTTTTATATCGTAGAGACTGGCTGCACAAGAAGTTACCTGACGTTACTCAATTTTCAACAGTGTCATTTTTTGTTGAATTAGAACAATACAGAAATGAAGTCTAGAAGTAGATTCTTGTGAAAAAGAGTACTGTTTTTTCCCAAAAAATATACTGACATCATCATCTGCTTGAAATTTTGCCAGTGGCTGCTATTGAATTAAGCATGTTAAGTATTACATCAGCATACATGTATTATGATCACATTGTTTTAGGCCAATGAGAAGTGCAGTCATAACATAGATCAGTAAAACTACTGAACATGACGAACCATTGTGACCGGGAAGGATTCATTACCTGTCTGACTGATGTTTTCGTATGGATAAGCCTTTCATGATATAGCAGTAGAATTGGTTCACTCTATCACAGGTATACTTATTAGATGTGGGTAGTTGGGCTGTGTACTGGTTAATGTGTTTGATCATAAAACTCAAGAGCTGTGAACATTTCCCCACATGGAGACAGTGTTGTCAGCCCACTTCTGGTGTGATCCTTTCCTGGAATATTGTCTGATCATAATTACTCTCTTTACAGAATATTGCTGACACAACTTAAAACCCTCGCTACTCACTGACTCCCAATCTTATTATGTTTCCAGGTCACCTGGATCGAGTTGTCCATGGCATTACTGCAGAGGAGATCCTCAACAACTGTGATGAAAATGCAACACCTATGGAGAGTCTGACCAATCCTAGTCTTACTCTGGCTCAGGCACTAAAGAGACGGAATCTGGCAACATTCAAAAACCTGGCCCAGCAGAAACTACAACAGCAACAAGCAGCTGCCCAACATCAGCAGCAGCAGCTGACACAGAGGCCACCTCCAGAGATGCTCAAACCTACCGGGTACCCCCTGCTTATACAAGGAGTGAGGACCAACACAAGGGACCCGGACTCACATGTGCTTTTCTTTGACACAGAGGCTTTGATTGGTATGTACCAGAAAATGTAGCATGTTCCATTCATTGCTGTTGCATATGCAATTCTATATCTAAATATTTGGATGTGAAATCAGTTCGATGGTTTATGTGATGGATTGTTAGGATAAAATAGGAGACCCTTTCTTTTGCTCCTTCACTTCCTGATATACAATATGTCCTGCTGCATATTTTGTTGAGATGGTGAGGTAGCCTAGTGATTGAGATGTTTATCTGTCTTGCTGAAAACGTACAAGGTTATAATGTGTGAAGCCAATTTCTAGTGTAGTTGCCTTGATATTGCTGGAATAGTCACATTACAAAAAGTGGCCTTAGGCCATAATCACTCACTCATAGTGTGACCAGTATTTTCTTCTTTTGGAACTGCTCATTTACAATCGGTTTCGAGATACAGAAATCAGAATGCTTCACTCACTTGTACCAAGAAGTCATGAGCCTCCATGCTGATGGCTGATAAGGAAATTAATTAGACATGTAGGGTTATCATATCTTGATGCAGAGAGCTATCACATAGGATTAAAGTTGAGTTCTGAGTTTTGTGAGATTAGTTCTTCAGTAATGTGTTATGAGATTTACTGATGCATGAGATGACATGAGACTGCTGTTGTGTGTGCAGTGCAACTGTTGACGGAGGAGTATTCCACCATGTCCCCCGGAGAGCTGGAGGCGAGGGGACTCATCGGGATGACAGAGGACCAGCTCATCAAGTCCTCTGGAGGCCTGGAGCTGTCAGACACACAACAGAAGCTCATGGGTAAACCATTGCATCACTAGGACCTGGCTTTGTTCCTTCTTCATTAACAGATGGGGCATATGTAGCCTGTAATGTGCTGTGCAGAGTTGTGTCCCTTTTGCATGCCATTAATCTATGATTGTGGGTTCATATCCCAGATTCACCTAATCATCTATATAGGTTTGTCAGCACCATACCCATGCTTGTTTGTTTCACCAAAGTGGTAAACCTCTAAACCCAGCATTACTGGGGACCCGTGGCCAAAGTAGCATCAATATCTATAACTCTCTCACTCAGTTACAATAATGTCATCTGATAGAAAGTCAACTCTGAATAATAGGGACATTTAGATACAGTTTATTCCCTCAGAAAATTACAATTTGTATAAACAATAATTCCTTCCTGTGAAATAAATTTCACTGTTCATGTACAGCTGATTTAAATATTTTTTGTAAGGTGAAAGTAAAGAGAAAGCAAATAATTATGTCTATGTTAACTTCATGTTTGAAGGAGAGGTCCTTTGGTAGAATTCCATGCTAACTGTAATGATCGATGTCCACAGGTTTCATAGCCAAAGCTAAGGAAAAGGCTGAGAATGTTGGTCAGAAGATACAAGCAAGGGCAGAGACAGCTGGACTCGTTCCTGTACAAACAGGAGGTCGTTTAACTCCCACAAGAATGAGTGCAAGTCCCTCAAGGCGAAGTAACACCAAGCCTGATGGCCTTGTTGTCAATGACAATTTGACACTGGAGATCGCTCAGTTCTTCATGTCATGTCTTCATGCATGGGGCCTGGATCCAGATCTTGATAGACTTTGTGTTAACAAACTTGGACTGCTGAAACCTCAGTGCCCCATATCGTTTGGCCTGCTGTCCCGCCAGGGCCACATGTCACTGATGCTGCCGGGATGGCACAAGCGTGTTTGTCAGGAGGAGTTGGTGGGCATCAGTGGCGACATTGGGAAGACAACTCTTGCTGATCAAGCTCGGACTGCAGCCATGAAGGGAATGGATAAAGGGACTGCTGATGAATCCAGCAAGAAGACACTGCTTGCACAGAGGTCAGGGAGTGTTCCGTTTGATGTAGAGCACCTGCTGTTCAGTGATGGGGATCTGGAAAGTGAGCTTCGTCACAACACATCTTCTGAGGACCAGAAGGCAGCGAGCCGGCCACCTCTGTCAGCCCTACAGGAAGAGACCAGGATCTTCTCTGCGAAGGCAAGATGGAAAATCTCCAGCGGTGTGACCACTCAGCACCTCCTCAGTGTAATCTCAGTAGCCAACACACTGATGGGGATGAGTCATGCCAGCTTCATCTTTGGTAAACAGAGCAGATCAAGGAGGTAAGTACATAACCATATTATTAAGGCATCAGGTAGCTCTTTGTTTAAAAAACTGGGAAAAATGCTAAATCAATGTCACCAGTGCTCATGTTTTGTTTGCAATTGTGCAACAATGGAGTGGATTTATGGTCACTCTGTTGAAGGTTTTCTCTATTTCTCAGTTATTTGTGTTGTGTAAGAAGTCATGTGCTTTTATAGCCACCTAAGTTGCAAATTTTCAAACCAAATAATCTCTTCCCTGTAACAGGAAGGGCAATAGTCAGTTCACCAATCACCATGGCATTATCATGAATGAGACTGACAGTGATGCAGGTAGTGAGGACGAAGACAGTGTCAGTATCCTGCAGGCCCAGATAAAGCAGGGCTGGAGTCTGTTAGCAGCGCTACACTGCGTGCTACTGCCCGAGCTGGTAGGTCCCGCTCACTACCAATCCCCTCAGCTGGAGATGCTGGCTCGCAGGTGGCAGGACCGCTGTCTGGAGGTGAGAACCTTACACTACGCTGGCTAGGTGGCCTTGCCATGTTGAATTTCAGGTCATTTCTTAGCTCACAATAAGAATAGTACATTGCATTTGCAAACATTAGTCAATTTTCTGCATGAAAGAGAAAGATAGGTTCATATTAATTTGAGTTTTCTGTCCATTATGTCCTTTGTCTTTTTGAGAAATATTATCAAGTGAATGTCTTCCATTTTGTTTGTTAATTATTTTCCCCATATATGAACCTTGTTCGTTTGCAAAAGATTTAATCTACAGCATTAATTTCAAACTGAGAAAAATCATAATGCTAAATAAAATCTCAGCTAAACTTTAGTAAGCCACAATGAAGTATTATTATATTTGCATTAAAATTATAAAACTGAGGTTGGAGGCATTTTAGTTTTCACTTTAGAAAAGAAAATTGACTATCTGTTCAAGGTATCAGTGGACATTACTTGTCGATGGATGTGAGTCCCATGCAGCATGAATGTTTGGTTGAACTATGTAGATGGCTTATTTCATCAAGTGACTGTTGAAGTTTTGTTTGACAGATTAGAGAAGCAGCCCAGGCTCTTCTGTTGGCTGAGCTTCGTCGGATTGGACCTGAAGGACGGAAAGCAATAATAGATGAATGGTCTCCATACCTGCCGACCTATGTGGACCCCCAGCACAGCCTGCTGAGTGACCCTCAACGTGGGGAGGAGGACGAGGAAGAGGAAGATGATGAACAGATGCTGGCAGGTGAGTACTGTCTGTACCTGAATGTTCATCAGCAAAATGGAAATAATTGACGTGCTGCAGGCTTTTTCGGAAGACTCTTAAACTAATGAATATGTTGTAGAGAACCAAGATTAGGAATTGGGTTTTTCTCATCAGGACCACAAAAACGATCTGCTACATGGTGAAATGGTAAAAGTGGTACTCCATAAGGAAGTGAATTTTACTCGTCTTATGTCATTTTTCACCCTGGTTCTATAGCTATATGACTACAACGTTGCTAATATGATGTAAAGTTTTAACTCGACCACTAACTCACTCCTTGTTAACTCAAAAATTAACTTTAATATCATTCTGAAACTTTTTCAACTTTTTGTAAGGATGCTAGCCTCTTCTCTAAGCACTCCTGGCTGTACAGGTTCATAATTATTCAAAATAGCAATATTCAAGAGCAAGTTTATTTGTCCCATTATTAACCCAGGATTTATCTTTATTAGAAATAACAATTTTAGATCATCTTGAAAAGTGATCTTTATTACCTCAGTACTCTTTCGTTGAGAACTATATTGTGAAAAGATGCAATAAAACCAAAAGTATAATATGATAAATATAAAATTATGCTTTTCTTTTCTTTTCAGGTGATTCTCCTGCCCACAAAGTATCTGTGTCATTTGAAAGTCGGCGAAAACAGGCAACTGCTATTGTGATGTTAGGTGTGATAGGAGCAGAGTTTGGGCACGAGATAGAACCCAACCGACGCAAGGTGGAGGAGATAAAGAAGGGCAAGAGGAATGTCCAAGAAGGCTTCAGTCTCACAAACTACAACCTCTCCAGACACACTAGTGAGTACAGCATCATCCAAGTACAAGGTCAAGTGTCCGTCACAGAATTGTCATTTTCATAGACACTCGGTGTGGGTCAATTGTGAGATCTTTAGCTCAGTTGTCAGTTCAGGAAATTGGCAAACAAATGAGTAGTTTGTTGCTTAAACATATTTGGTGTTTTGCTGCATAAGTTAATGGTTTCCCCTGTGTAGTTCCCTGGGGAAGAATAGGTCCTTAGCTGTCTTGCTTGTCTTTAAAGCTGACTGATAAATCGCTGGTTATGTAAGATTTGCACATTATTTTTCGAGGGATATGCGTCACATCTACAGTTTGAAGCGGACCTCTGAGGTGTCATCAGAGCAGCATCCACGAACAAACAGGTGGTTTATTGACCCGTACAATGAGGAAAGAAACTAACGAGATATCATTGATAATTAACCATAATAAGTACTGGGGACATATTCTAAGTGAGAACTTCGTTTGGGTCTAATGGATAGAGCATCTACCCGGAGAGGAGGAGGTCGGTAGTTCGATCCCTGGCCACGTCATACCAAAATACATTAAAATATGGTACTTCTTGTTACCCTGCTGGGGTCTAGGCATTATGAGATAAAACAAAGACTCTTTGGCATGGAGTGTCCGAGAGGGGTATCAATGTTAAACAGTGGCATAGAATCTCAGTGGGCTAGCTCTATGAAACTGACATTAGTCCGGACACACTTGAATGCACACAGACAGACAGACAGACAGACAGACAGATGACAATAAACCCCATTTCACCTCACTTCACTATTCTATATTATGTTTATGTATAACCGGCTAATGTAACTGAAACAGCCATTAAATATTCACAACACTCTTGTAACCTTAGATAGTTATCTACATAGAACAGACTGTCCATCCTTCTGTGTATTCCTCCATTATGATTAATTTCTGTTATTTCCAGAGCATAAGTCATACTCCATTCAAAATTGTTTGCAAAAGTAACCCCATTGTAAAGTATAATGTACCATTTGTTTGAGCCAGGTGAGCTACAGTAGCCATGGATGTTTTAACTCCTTCTTGTCCACGATAACATGCAACAGTTTGGCATTAAGTAAACAACAGTTTTGTGCAATAAATATTACCCTTGCCCCCTGTGCCAACACCTTTGGGTCTGCTAGCCCGGGCATGACTCTTAGCATCATTTTCTGGTTTTAGTGTTATTATTTGGACTATTATTAGACCAAATAGAATTTTACAAGACTTGGACTTCTGGATAGTGGCTTAAGTCGCAAACTGTTCTTGTATCACATTATCTACCAGTCTGTAGTGAAGGTGAGCTAAACCTTTCTATTTTCACCTTGTATTGTTGGATTAAATGGGTATTGTTGGATTAACCTGAGTCAGCTTGTCTGAGACTTGTAAAAGGACCAGTGACGTTTCCTTGTGTACTACAAATTTTACTATCAGGAAGATAGCAACTCTGAAGCAGATCGTTACTAGTGACAGTATTAATTTATTTCTAACCCTGCTTTCAAACTTCACCTTGCAGGCAAGGCTCTAACGTTCCTGTTGCTGACCCCTCCCAGTCCCCGCCTACCCTCCAATACCCCCATCCGCCGTGCGGCCATCGACCTGTTGGGTAGGGGCTTCACTGTCTGGGAGCCGTATCTGGACGTGTCCTCCGTGCTGCTGGGGCTGCTGGAGCTGTGTGTGGATGCAGACAGGCTACTGCCAAGGTGAGTCTCACACTCGTATCTATAGCCGTCCGGTGACTGCCAATCACACACTGGTGAATAATCATCAAAACGTGCATTTAGACCGTTAAAAAATGCTTGAGCGACAGGAACATCAGATGAGTGGCTTGTGTTGCAGAATGTTATCCCTATTATCACTTAATACTTTTGTGATTTTGCAACAAAAGAAGTAAAAGATTGTCAGCTTGGATATTGCTACCATTTTCTACATTATATGTGTATGTGGATCAGTTGGTTCTTTGACCAAAACAACTCCAAAAGAAATGAGCCAATTACAAGAATCTTTTGTATTCAGTGCAGGATTTCTAAGTTACAAATAGATATGGTATATACCCATGAATGGAATTAAAAAGAGGCCACCCTGACTGTAGACTGGATCCAAGGGAATGAAATATGTTCAATACCCAAATAACAGAATCAAATACCCAATGTAAATGTTAACATGTGAGTAAACGCTCAGTGGCTCAAACAATTATTTGGAGCCCTGTGTATGAGTCACTGCTTACGCTATCAACACTGGTTATCAACACATTCACTTACTAGTACAGATAGATGCTGTTTCCATTCATGTCTTTGCAATTGTAACAGCGGTACTCTGGTCCTCTCAAAGATAAGAGAGTACTTGTTGGGTTCAAGGGATTTATTTTCAATGGGCGTAGAGAACTACACAGTAGTCCGGATCTGCCCTAAAACATACATAATTTGATATAAATATCATGGGTATCATTATAAAGGCACTAAATAACAACAATACTAATTATACATTTAGATCTATAGTTCCTTACTTTTGGCATATATATATATTAACAAATCCTTCCAGATAAAACAAATTACACTCTATATATATATAGTTAATAATGCATAATTAATAAAACATAAATAGCATACCTCGTCTCAGGGACGCAGGCTGGAAACTCTCTTATAGAGATGTGCATTGAAATAGCCCTGCACAAATAAGTATACTACATATAAATATATTACATAGCCACAGTTATACTAGCGTGTATGGAATACAAGCATTATAAATTCTACAAAATACTATACCTATATACATAATACATATATCACTTCTAACCAGTTTAAATCTATTTTATAAAATGTACATTTGGCTATTATCTCAGTCAAATACACAGTTAAGTTGAATTAAGAATACATTACAATGTCATAATACAATGCTAGCCAAAATACTATATCCAACAACAATGATTAAAATACATAACCTAAGCTTCCAGATAAATAAAGTAATAATTAAATGAACTTACCCTATATGATTCAGTGTAGAGAACGTGTTGAGAAAATATGTCCTGACTGACCAGTAGAAGTGTGATCAGTGTCCCCACATAATTGCAGAGAACATGCAACAAAGCTAGATCACAAAGAGCACCTAATCACAGGCCAAGCCTGTGACCGACCCATTGACAATAGCCAAGAAAGAAATGGCTGAACTACCCAAGCTATATACAGAACTAGCTTACCTGTGAATTAGTAGATTTGTGCAAGTGCTGAAGTTAACACAAGTATTTAGTAAAATAAATGTTAAATATTTAGGTTAGCTTATTAATTTAATTCATGTTTGGTTACTATGATGATACTTTAAAATCTAACAATATTCTATTTACAAGCATACTGCTACATAATCACTGGCAGGCATGTGTCTGTCATTGTTTTTGTGTGTGAACATGTTCTGCAATTTCTTTCGATGTTTTGGACAAGGATTATGATGCCGCTACTTTCACTGACTATAGCTGGTCCTGGTTGAGTGTTCAGCATGACCACTAGTCTGCTTGTCCAATGCCAGTGAAAATCTGTAAGGACTAGTAGCTTTCTTTCTAATTGTGATGATATTACATGAACAGGTTTTTTGCATGTTGTGTCTACCCATGAGAACTGATGACAATTTCTGTTTTGTGAGTAAGGAGTTCAAATTACTGTTAACTTGTGAAACCAAGTTGAGTGTGGATTTGTTTGTAGTACACTGTGACCTTGATTAAATGGAGAGAAAAAAATAAAACACGTTGATATTTCAATGTGGTTGGCTCTTTCTTACTGGCATAAAATAAATTGTTTTTTCTAATGACTTTATTGTTCAGGATAGTAATAATAATGCCTCTGTTTGCAGCATGAGCTATGGGCTCCCTCTGACCCCAGCAGCAGATGCCTGCAGATCCGCACGCCATGCTCTGTCCCTGATAGCAACAGCCCGACCCCCAGCACTCATCATCACCATGGCCAAGGAGGTGGCACGATACAACGCCCTGGCACAGAACACCCAGTCTCAACATGCACAGATCCTCAACTCTGTGCTGGTCAGAGCCAAGCAGGAGATCCTCCATGTTATTGAGCTGCTGGTCGAGAAAATGCCAAATGATGTGGCTGATCTCATTTGTGAGGTAAGTATATGCTTTCTTTTAATAGGATCTCAGACTTGTCAGTTCTTTCTCCCTCTTCCACCCTCCCCCCAAATATTAAATGGTCAGTCTCTTCTGCAGTAGTATTTGATGTTCTGATTGGATACTCACATATTTGTTTGAATTCAGATGAAAAAGATAATGATTAATGATTGACAGCATTTTTTTACGTCTATTGATATTATTTATGTTACCAAACTTGTCATCAGTATTTTGCCATTGGCCCATGGACTGTTGTGAAGCATCAATACACCCCTAGTGATAGTTTCAAGGGGAGAAGGTGTGTGGAGCGACAATGTCTGACAGCCTGTACAATGTTGTGTTCCAGGTAATGGATGTGACCATGCATTGTCTGGAGATAACCCAGCTCAAGGCCAAGGGGCTGCAGGAACTCTTCCCAGCAGTCTGCAGGTAGGGTGGGAGCAGAGAGGGTTGAACATGCAGGAAGGGGAAGGTAGGATGGGGCAAAGGTGGAGGGCATGCAGGATGGCGCAAGGGGGGAGGAGGAGGGACAAGCAGCATGAGGCAGGTAGGTTGGGACATTCAGGGAGAGGCAGGTAGGGTGGGGCAGGAAGGGAGGGACAAGCAGGGAGAGGCAGTCAGGATGGGACATTCAGGGAGAGGCAGGTAGGGTGGGGCAGGAAGGGAGGGACAAGCAGGGAGAGGCAGTAAGGGTGGGACATTCAGGGAGAGGCAGGTAGGGAGGGACAAGCAGGGAGAGGCAGTCAGGGTGGGACATTCAGGGAGAGGCAGGTAGGGTGGGGCAGGAAGGGAGGGACAAGCAGGGAGAGGCAGTCAGGGTGGGACATTCAGGGAGAGGCAGGTAGGGTGGGGCAGGAAGGGAGGGACAAGCAGGGAGAGGCAGTCAGGGTGGGACATTCAGGGTGGGACATTCAGGGAGAGGATGGTAGTGTGGGGGCAGGAAGGGAGAGGCAGTCAGGGTGGGACATTCAGGGAGAGGCAGGTAGGATGGGGAAAGGAGGGAGGGGCAGGTAGGGTGGGGCACAGAGGAAAGGTAGGGAGGGTCATGTTTTGCAAACAGTCAGGGACATCTTCAATTAGTGGGGATCCTGGGGTCCTTGAGAGTTGCTGCTATAATACTTGAATCTAGGAACACCAACAATCTTAAAACTTTGTCATTAGGACTATGACAAGTACCCCTTAATTTGAACCATTGGTTTGGGTTGTCAAATATAACCACAAACTGTGGTCAAGTTAAAAAAAAAAAGACAGCCTATGACGTTGCAAATAATATGCATCGCTGATTTGTCAGGTCAAGACTCGATTATTTACAGGCTGCAGTGACATAGGTGAATACTGCTGGCTGCAGTGATAAGCAGCGTTCACTCATTCAATTATTATTTTGATATGTATAGGTTCAGTATGGTATCGTACTGTGGACAAACCAAGCGGATCTGGGTGGGGGCCAAGAACGGTGGCCTGGCTCTGTACGAGATGAAACAACATGCCAAGTGTCAGGTAGAGGGACATTATTTACTTACAAAAAGCTTAATGTTATTGAATGATACGTTCGTAAAATAAAATACTAAAGAGGGGCAGTGATGCCCATTTTGTCTCATGCTAGAAATTAGTGCCATGTTGAAACTGTCTTTTGTGTAATTAAATTAATCATTAATTGATGGGTACAGTGGTAGAAGTTAACAAAGTGACTTTTGAAGGCTTTTGTGAAACTGTAAGGACTGAGAAGACATTGCACAAGTAGGAATATTGCCAAAACAATATTTATCAGGGGTAGAAACTAACATATTTAGTCCAATAGTCCTTATAATGATAACATATAGCAAAACCTTTAAAAATGGCAAATTTCAACTAGTCCTTATGATACCTTAACTATTGGTCAGTTTGGCAAGGACTACAGGACCCGTGCCAATTTCTAACACTGATTTACGCTTGGAACAGTTTCATAGTTTTACAAAACAGGTGACTCTCTAATTCTACACTGTTATGGATGATTGTATGCAGTACTGACACCATGTTTGCAAGCATGTTTGTATGTGACAAAGCAATGTATTGTTGTACACTGTTGTTGTTTCCAGCTTATTCCAGGCCACCATGGTCCAATCATTGCCGTGTCTGTCAACCCAGACGGCAAGTTCCTGGCCACTTTCTCCCATGTTGACAGTAAACTCAAGTTCTGGCAGGTAGGAACTGTCACCCTCACAGACTTCTCAATAAAGAATGTTGGCATTTGTAATTGAAGACGTTATAAAATGACTACATCATGAATTAACCCTTGCTACCAACATTAAAAGTTTTTTTCAATTCCCAAATTTGCCTGATGTATATATTATAAACCTTTGTCAGACTGACATCAGTGGAGGATCAGTGCACACATACATAGTAGGTCACTAAATCCAGCCAGATGTCAATAAATCCATCTCCACTTCACTTCTTCAGTGGGGATTCCAGGTTAGAATAGGTCCCCAGCAAGCTATGCTGGTCTTAGAGGCGACCAAATGGATCGGGTAGTCAGGGTTTGTGACCTTGATTATTGCAAGGCTTAGTACCCTGAAGACGTGGATCGTTGCTTATAGTATCGATCACTGGATTGTCTAATCCAGGTTTGATTATTTATAAGCTGCCGTCATATAGCTGGAAGATTGTTGAGTGCAGCGTTAAACATCACGCATGCCAGCACGCACGCACGCACACACACACACACACCTTGTTGTTGAAGGGCAAGTTTGTTTAGTTTCCTTGCTGCTATGTTTCAGACTGCTTCGTCTTCTCTGTTTGGTATTGGATCTCAGCAGACCAAGTGTATACGGCAGTACACTACTGCGCCGTGTCAAGTAACCCCAGTCACCAACATCCTCAAACTCGTCCGACTTGTATGGATTGACAACAGAACCGTTGTCTTGCTCACCGTTGATGGAACAGAGACAAAATATTCTGTATAGGATGATGAATTGATTCATGACACATATCTGGGCATTATGTGCTTGAAGAGCGAAAGGCTGTGGAATCAGTATCAAAACATTGTTGGTTGAAATATCTTCAGCACTTTAATATACAAAAAGCTTCAAGCAATTCTTCATATGTTGGTGTAGTACAGTGTGTTCTGATGTAGTTGAGACTTCTAGGGGTGTAACGATTGATCAACTAGCAACAGCGGGATTGTTTATGGCCCAAAGGCAATACATAGATGACAAGCTAAGAAATCAATTGCTAACATCACTACCGTACTACACTGTCAGTAGACCTACGGTAATTGTATTAATAAGATACATAGTAAGTCTCCTTACTTGAAGAGCCATGGATATCCATTCATAAAGTATACTTAATTTTTTACAGACAATATTGGGATGTACCTCCCATAATTCATAAAGCGATATCCTGTGAACTAAGACAAAGTGAGCATGTAAGACTTTGTCATCATGTCAAAGAATGCAAGGAAATCTTCTTTGTGGGATATACTTATGAAACTATCGCAATGTCATTGCAATAGTTGGTCATATATTGCAGTAACAAGGTTAAAAATTAACGCAAGTCTGCTAGTCCAAGGTTAGTACAATTCAGGAAGGACTAGCATGACTAATGACATTCCCTTGTGGACTACCACTTTTGCCATTTGGTAAATGGTAACTCTGTAACCAATTGGTTGGTTTTTTTCTACCCGGAAGTGAAAATTAATATTTCTATCCCAGCAATAGTATTGATGTAGTAGAGATGTTCTCGATTGTCACCCCAAGAGACTTCCTATGCATTGTCGTGCAGCTTGGTTGCATGTAGTGAAGCATTCAGCGCTATCCAGGCTGGTACATAACTGTATACACACTCAGTGTTGTTGTGGTCAAACCATTGCTGCCTGCTACTTGATTTATCACTGATGGAAGGTCTATATTTAAAGGCAAGAAGTGAGGATCAGCCATTTCAGTAAAGTGTGTGATCCCGTTTACACAGTTATCGTTACTCCTCTACTAAACATGTTAGGATGCTAGGAAGGCTGTAATCATACACTTGTAGCAGATACCATGGTGTGCAGAGTTGTGTCCCTTGGGCATGCCGTCAGCCTACAGTCATGGGTTTGAATCCCAGGTTCAACATGATTATTTTTCTTGGCTTATCAGCACCATTCTCATACTTGTGGGGTTCACCAAAGTGGTTATATCCAATGACCTGCATCACTTTGGGCTTTCCTCCCACATTTAAATATCATGACAGGTTATTACTGATTTACTGTTCAAAGCAGCATCAAACACAACTCTCTCACTCACTCACTCACCAATCACACTCGCTCAGCGTACTTTAATACACTGTATTCCAACACTGACCACAAATTTAGTATTATTTAGTAAACTTTAAACTTTTTAGCTTATCCTGCATTACTTCTTAATGCATTTACTGCTGCTTTTTGACAGAAAGACGAACTGTGTGAGACCACAAAGGGTACAAATCATAAACCAAAGAGACTATAGTCAGCAAACGATGAATGTAGAAACATGCAGTACAGCAACACAATAAGCTTTGTTTCCACAAGGTAAACAATAGTATGTCTGCCCGTGGAGGTGACCAAGCAGTAATGTGCTTTGATGTGACATCATAGCTTCCGGGTCACGTGCCGACTGTGCGAGGGTGCTGCCTCTACTGGTTGGAACAACGTTTCTTTAGCAGCTGGATCTCACACAGTTCATCTTTCTGTCAGAAAACAGCAGTAAATGCATTAAGGTGTAATGCAGAATAAGTATACAAATGTAAAAAATGTAAAAATGCCTGTGTTATGAAGAATGTAATCATTATATGCCTGTCATTATCCAATCCTCAGTATTCATAACAGTTCAAAATATTTGTCTACATCATCACAAAACACATCAGTTTTATTGGTAAATAAACCTGAGAAAATCTCTGCTTACCATCTCATTTCAATGAAATGAATAGATGCAAGCACAGCAGTTACAGGAGAGTGAGACTTCGAATTACTTTGCTGTGTGTAGGAGCTCTCAGAATCCTCTTGTTAGGGGTAAAGGTCAAACCTTGGTACAAAACAGGCTTCTGTTCTGGTTTCTGTAGGTTTGTCAGTAATTCAGCATTTTAGTAACAGTCCATTGTTGATAAAAACTGTTGTTGTAATTACACGACAGGTGATCTTTGATGGAACAATTCCAATTATGTTTGAGTCATTCCATAGTGTACATGGGAAGTATCTAGTCATGTATATAGCACTACACAAACCAGGAGACTTGGAGAGAGGAAGACACCAGCTGGACTGGTGCTGAACATCATGGGGAGCAGGTGCTTGTACCATCCCAGGGATTTACCCAGGTCATACTATATGGGAGTCATGTGAACTCTGAATATGGGGGGTCCCAGGCATGATTAGGGAGTCCAAAGTACTACTGTTCCATAAACAAATGAAATTTGAAGTATTAAGGAAGCCTTAATTTATAGATGGGGCTTAACATAAACTGTATAAAAGAAAATCCGACATGGACAGTAGAATTAATGTGCATGCTACTTTGCATAGCTATTGATATCTCATATCCCATGAGATTTGTAGTGCAAATTGTTGGCTCTCAATTTTTTTCGCATATTGGGTTAATATTTTGGGTTAATATTAAAAGACTTTTATTTTATTACAAGAACGTGATTAATGGGAAATGCAATGAGATACACTTCAGTTGATCTACTGCCAGATAGATTGTATGAAAAGATTTTTGTACATTAACTTTTGATTTTAGAGACTTAAGTCATTATCAAATATTAGCAGAAATATTTAAAAGCGTCTAAAATTGTATTCCAGCAGGCAGTTCCGATGCTTTGAACAATGTTTTGTATATTTGGCAACAACTTCACAAAGGCTAGGGTGGAAGGTGGCTCCATGATGTTCAGTGCGAGTCTAGCGTACTGTGTGAGATGGGTATAACATCTAGCTTACTGTGTATATACCATCATCACCTGGGTGGATGCTCCCCTGCCTCAAATTAAGCTGTCAATTGTTTATAGATTTTGTTATGATCAAATGTAAATAAGAATCAGTTGGCTGAACGAACAAAACATAATGACCTCAACCAGGCAACTTTGGTGTTCATCCTGCAAAGTGTTGTAGAATTGAGAATGTCTGCTGGTATGGTTTTGTGTTCACTGTCAATCGCCCAGAAGTGAATCAGAGTAGCGCCTCAACATCCGATAAACCACGTCATTTTAATTTCTTCTTGTTGCATGATGTCATTGCACTGTATGATGTCATCAGTGGAATGTCGCTGCACGAAAAAATGTAAATGTGCACATTTATATTAATTTCTTGAAAAAAATTCACAATATATTTCTTTTGGATGAAATTTTTAGTGATATATTTAAAAAATAATTATACCTTATCCAAAACTGTCACACACAGTATGTGTTTGCTCAGTATATGGCTATTGTAGAGTGTAAATTTGGTGCAATAGCTTACAATAGTCCACAATAAAATGCACACTTACCTCCTCCTTTCTTTATTTGGACTGATTAAATAACAAGCATTTTTTGAAATACCTATCTTAGAAAAAGTTAAATACTCTCAATACACACCAGCAGACATCTTTAACGGTTTGAGAATCTTGAGGTACTGTGTTTGAGACAGGGGAGACTACTCAAGTGATGGTGTTTGGGAGCAACTACTTACTACTGATACAACATGCTTATGGTGAAGCCACAAGTTCTCGCATTACTGGTATTGCTTGTATTATAAATCTTTTTAATTATCATATATTTTGTGTGTATCTTCATGTTGTTGTCTTGTGTGTTGTCTATGAACATTCCTTATGTACTGTGAGAGTCAATTCCAATTTTTAGAGGACCATTTTGAAAGAAACACTTTCTTCTATGAATTGTCTTCTGGGGAAATAAATCAATAATTGTCCATTAAGACATGCCCTCAGCTTTTTTTACTTACCAATCTATCTTTTATGATTGAGTAACTTTAGCACTGTCGTGTGACAATAAGGTTCAAACTACCCATGATAGTCTGGTTTCAGATGACATTATTACTGCCATGTGTGAAACTCAAAAAGTGTCTCTGTGAGATTGGGCAACTGTTCATATTGATCTACATTGTACAATTTGATTCAGCAGACAACCAAAGCAGTGTTTGAACAACTTGAATCCAACTTTGAAAGAATGACAATTTGCTCCAACCAAGTCACCCTTTAATGCTAAACTGCTGGGCCAAAGAAAGTGTACACCTGTGTTTGATGATGGCTGACGATGAAACAAGGAAGAAATGGTTATTTGATGGTGAAATATTTGATACGAGTATCATAGGCGATATTACATGCATCATATCAATGAGTATCTTACAACAAGTCAGCCCTTTAAGGCATTAAACATTTTGATACCGTTTGTAATTTTTTAGGAAAAATCAAAGTTTCAAGTATATACTTTCTTTTGCCTGGCAGTTTAGTAATATTTAAACTTGGATCTCATCAAAAGAGATCTTTTGAAAAAAATTAATTTTCTTTTAAATTTAATCTTTCTTCTTCAACGTTGTGTTGTGTTCTATATTTGTTTGATGGATTAATATATAGCTTAGCCAGATAGCTTCACCTGTTTCAACGCTGTGTGTATGTTGTGTCTATTGTCGGTACTTAACTTGTATGTTCAAGTGTATTGAAGGGTATACGAGTACACCTGTATAGAAATCGTGAGGATCATCCTCTACTTGGCTGTGAAATGTGTAAATATGTATATATGACATGAAAAGAATGTTGCATACTAACATGACTAGGAATGTGTAATTTGGTGATTATTTAGTTTTATGGACTTGATGAAATAGATACATGTATTGCTGTTTCAGAGAGATGATTTCTTATCTTCTCAGTCATGTTGTGTACAGCTACAAATTTCCATATGTCACTGTCATTTTGTAAAGATCTTGATCTTTTTTATGCATATAGTCATTAAATGTCATTACATATTTAGAGAAATTGAAGATTGATATTCCGCATAATATCACTGTCAGTAAGTAAACTGACTAGCATAGAGAGTAATGGTTCCACAATGTCTTGATGCTGTGTCGATGTTGATACAAGGCGGTCTGTGTGAGGATGTTTCGTTTGGGTAGTATTGTTTATGCTTAAAGGTAATAGTCCATTGTTTATGCTTAAACTATTGTTAAAGTATGAATATCAGTTATTAAGGTAAAAAAGTCAACAAAAGAAACATTTAAACTTGACAACATGACAAGATGAAATAAAAAACATGTTGGGTGAATAACTTTTTTGTTGTAAGTCATTAAGTGAATAATCCAGTTCCACACAGACAGTAGAAACAGGAAAGAAACTAAGGATATCTTGAAACATGACCCATCTACTGTGACATATGAAATAGTCCATCCTCTGGTATTATTATTCTGATACAGACAGTAATCAGTATTGTTGAAACACACCAGAAACAAGTGTATACA